GATTAAACTTCTAGGATTCCACATCTATCTACTAAAAAGGTCTATAAAGTGGGCATTTCTTTCAAACGATCCTTTACAGAAGGAATTTGTGTGCCTTTTTGTTTTCCTTTCATCAAAGGAAGTACTTTTTAGTTCTGTCGTTTGAAACGTGTCGGCACTGTTTTTTTCTCTGAATGTATCACAGGCATATTAGCTGTTCATTGCCCTCATTGCCTACTTAGATAATATTTTCGAAAATAATTTATTTGACGAGGGGCATCGTGCAACATTTCCTTTTTATGAGTGTACAGTTGCTGTTATTTTAATGTTATGTTAAATATATATATGAAGAATGTATACGATTTTTCTGCTGTACAATTTTGTCAACAAAGACCATGCAGATTGTTTATTGGTTTTATTTAAAATTAAATGCATGGATTTTTATACAATTCATTGTAATTTTTTATGATATGCATTAAATGGCCATTGTTTAATTTATTTAAAAATGGATGGTTTGCCTTCATGTTTCATATAACAATTTTTTTACTAGAGTTTTTTACTTGAGTGCTGTAGGTTGTTGCCAAGGTGTTGAGTGGTTGCCAGGGGGTTGCTAGGTGGTTGCTATGATGCTCTGCTATGATGCAGTATGTGTCTAAAGGTGCAGGGTCACATTTGGGAAATTCCATGAGCAAAAAAGGTAAATTGTCTATTGTCAATGCCTCACGCAAAATACACTGTCACGTTACGTAGATTCCTGCTGAAATTATTTCGCCCGTGAAAGAACGATAAATCTAAAAGCACCTTAAAGGGATAGTTCACTTTGAAATAAATTTTTGGTATGTTTTAGCTTACCTCAAGGGCATCCAAGATGTAGGTGTCTTTGTGTCCACAGTATTTTCAATTTTGATATTTTTAGGTCAAACCGTTCTTGTCTGTCAGTCATATAATGCAGGTCTATGGTCACTTCCTCAAAGAGCATGCACAGAGAAGTCCAAATTAAACATGATTTAATGACTCGTAAATGTAAGTACACATTGATGGCCTAAGACACGAAACAAGCGGTTTGTGTGAGAAAACGAACAGTATTTATATCGTTTTTACCTCTTGTAATCACAGTCACGTCCAAGTACTCTGATGGCGCGGGCGCCTCTGTCTGCGCAAGCGCCGGCAAGCGCCGGAAAGCCCCGGAAGTGATCTCTCGCGCGTGTACGTCATTCTCTGAAGTCACTCATTGTTTACACAGAGATTTCGGGCGTTTTACCTTTCACTGTGAAGATCTAAACATATTTAGATATACAGGAAATCGCAATGGAAGACGATTTCAGAAAGAAATTAGAAAAAAAGAGAGATTTTACGTCCGAAATCTCAGTGTAAACAATGAGTGATGTACACGCGCGAGAGATCACTTCCGGCGGAAGACAGAGGCGCCCGCGCCATCAGAGTACTTGGACGTGGCTGTGTTTACAAGAGGTAAAAACGATATAAATACTGTTCGTTTTCTCACACAAACCGCTCGTTTCGTGTCTTAGGCCATCAATGTGTACTTACATTTACGAGTCATTAAATCATGTTTAATTTGGACTTCTCTGTGCATGCTCTTTGAGGTGGTGACCATAGACCTGCATTATATGACTGACAGACAAGAACGGTTTGACCTAAAAATAACAAAATTGAAAATACTGTGGACACAAAGACACCTACATCTTGGATGCCCTTGAGGTAAGCTAAAACATATCAAAAATGAATTTCAAAGTGAACTATCCCTTTAAGTGTAATACTTACACAATACTAAACGCAAGCATGAGCAACAGTAATAGTGATGTTTATTGCAACGGTAGTAAACACCACTAATGACATGTTTATTATTAAATTAAAAAAGTAAATGATGAGGCTTGGAAACATTGAAATGTTTTTATTGAATGTTGAATATTGACCTTGAACGCTTTCAAAGTAGGAATGTATAGAGAAATTCTTGGTACTTTACAAGTGCCCTGACAACCTCGAACTGGGGATAAAATTATCACTGATTTCTTCATTCTTTCAAAACGTACAGAGTGAAAATGCCCATTCAGAGTTTATAAAGTTTCCCTTTCATCAGATTTGCCATTACTATTTCTGAGGCCACAGGCTTGATTGTGTAGCTAAAAAGAGAGAAAATAGCCCTGCTACTTTTCATTCCTCTATGAAAATTGCCGCCCCTCCTCCCGGCTTTGTCACGAATAAACTCTGCTTTTCCAGAGCGGATCGACGGGCGTCAGGCGTGTAATAACGCGCACTCACGGTTCGGAGAAAAGAATCTATCTTTTCCCCGGGTACCATGGAAACCGTGCAACCTCCCCATCCAGCTCCGGTCAACCTCGACCCCACGGCGCCCGCCTGCCTGCGAAGAGAGGAAGAGGTTTCGATTAAACTACAAATCATTAGACAGACTCGAGCAATTTCCTGTAGTTTGCCAGAGAAGCTCAGAGATGTGACTCATTTGGCGTCACAGAAGAAATACACTACAGGTCAAAAGTGAATTAACTCAGATTCATTAAGATTTTAATGAATAATGTATTTGATTAAAGTACAGTAAAACATTAAAAAAAAATACCCAGCAGTAATTTTATTATACAAAAAGTATAATAAAATAATTCCATACAAAAAATGTTTACTGTTTAAAACTTTTAAAATATTTCAAATGTAATTTATTCCTGTGATAAAAAGCTGAATTTTCAGCATCATTACTCCAGTCTTCAGTGTCACATGATCCTTCAGAAATCATTCTAATGTGATGATTTGCTGCTCAAGAAACATTTCTGATTATTATAATCAGTGTTTAAAACAGTTGTGCTGCTTCATATTTTTGTGGAAAACATAATAAACAGTTTTTCAGGATTCTTGAATGAATAGAAAGTTCAAAAGAAAGAAAACATATTTTAATCCAACATACCCCAAAAATTGAATGATATTTTATGGTAACTCTAATGGCAGCTTTGCATCACAGGAATAAATTACATTTTAAAATGTAGTAAAATCGAAAATAGTTGGTTTAAATTGTAATAATATTTCACAATTTTACTGGATTTTTGCTCAAATAAATGCAGCTCTTGTGAGCAGAGGAGACTTTCAAAAACATAAAAAAGAAATATTCCAAACTTTTGACCAGTAGTGTATGTGAAAAGAAAAAACCCCACTGCATATTGTAAGATATACGAGAGCATGACCACATGATGGTCAGCTGACTGCGCTCTCTCTCACTCACAGACAGATGTCCACCAGCTGGTCCAGCTCGGGGCAGCTGCACTCGTACAGGTCTCTGCAGCTGGCGTGGCTTCGGTTCATCAGGTCGCCCAGCTGAGCGACGGCGTTGGCAGGGGAAGAGTCGCACACGGCCTTAAACTGCAGGACGCGGGCCGCCTCGCCGTACACGTGTCTGGCACGCTGGTACAGTTTAAACTGAGTCGCTGAGGAACAAACAGAAGAGGATGTAGAGCGAAATGACAATAATATATAATATCGGTAACACTTTACAATAAGGTCCATTAATAATTTTTCTGATAGGAATTTAAAAAAAAAAAGATTAACAAATGTATTGCTCATGGTTAGTTCATACACTCACCGGCCACTTTATTAGGTACCCCATGCTAGTAACGGGTTGGACCCCCTTTTGCCTTCAGAACTGCCTCAATTCTTCGTGGCATAGATTCAACAAGGTGCTGGAAGCATTCCTCAGGGAGTTTGGTCCATATTGACATGATGGCATCACACAGTTGCCGCAGATTTGTCGGCTGCACATCCATGATGCAAATCTCCCGTTCCACCACATCCCAAAGATGCTCTATTGGGTTGAGATCTGGTGACTGTGGAGGCCATTTTAGTACAGTGAACTCATTGTCATGTTCAAGAAACCAATTTGAAATGATTAGAGCTTTGTGACATGGTGGAAGTAGCCATCAGAGGATGGGTACATGGTGGCCATAAAGGGATGGACATGGTCAGAAACAATGCTCAGGTAGGCCGTGGCATTTAAACGATGCCCAATTGGCACTAAGGGGCCTAAAGTGTGCCAGGAAAACATCCCCCACACCATTACACCACCACCACCAGCCTGCACAGTGGTAACAAGGCATGATGGTTCCATGTTCTCATTCTGTTTACGCCAAATTCTGACTCTAACATCTGAATGTCTCAACAGAAATCGAGACTCATCAGACCAGGCAACATTTTTCCAGTCTTCAACTGTTCAATTTTGGTGAGCTCTTGCAAATTGTAGCCTCTTTTTCCTATTTGTAGTGGAGATGAGTGGTACCCGGTGGAGTCTTCTGCTGTTGTAGCCCATCCGCCTCAAGGTTGTGCGTGTTGTGGCTTCACAAATGCTTTGCTGCATACCTCGGTTGTAACGAGTGGTTATTTCAGTCACTGTTGCCCTTCTATCAGCTCGAACCAGTCTGGCCATTCTCCTCTGACATCAACAAGGCATTTCCGCCCACAGAACTGCCGCTCACTGGATGTTTTTTCTTTTTCGGACCATTCTCTGTAAACCCTAGAGATGGTTGTGCGTGAAAATCCCAGTAGATTAGCAGTTTCTGAAATACTCAGACCAGCCCTTCTGGCACCAACAATCATGCCACGTTCAAAGTCACTCAAATCAACTTTCTTCCCCATACTGATGCTCGGTTTGAACTGCAGGAGATTGTCTTGACCATGTCTACATGCCTAAATGCACTGAGTTGCCGCCATGTGATTGGCTGCTTAGAAATTAAGTGTTAACCAGCAGTTGGACAGGTGTACCTAATAAAGTGGCCGGTGAGTGTACATTACCTAATGAACCTTATTGTAAAGTGTTACCGAAAAATAAGACAAAAGGTACAAGACTGTTACTTAAAGGCTTTAAAGAGGGAAAGAACTACAATCCCATGAAGCATTGTGAATGACAAATTAAAAACGATGGTGAAATATAAAACCACTCATTTAGAGTAGATCATATAGAAGCAATATATTTAAATGTATTGCAAAAAACATTACCAGAAAAAGTATGATTATTTCCCAGTAAGAGGAGATTTTGAGCTCCTCCGGTTGTCTTTAACTGCTCTCTCACCATGTTGTGTGTTGGCGCTGAGGATGTTTTGAGCCAGCTGTTCTGCGCTGATACCCAGAGTCCTGCAGATCTCCTCTCTGCTGTACGGCTCGGGGTGAAGCACCTCCTCCAGCAGCTCCAGCATCTCCTCCAGACTCGCCTGCAGCTCCTTCTGCAGATCCCCCAGCTTCAGCAGACGCTGCCAGTCCACACCTCGCGCTTTAGCCAGCATCTGCACACATGCTACCGTCAATATACTCAAGCAAATGTTGGAAATTAGGATGGGAACTAGAAAAACTTTGAGCATTACCAATAATTATTAGTGGCCAATCACTAAAGCTGAGTAACTACTTCTGGATTTATAGATCTGTAGATTTAAATTATCAATTTAAAATATCACTTTCAACAAATTTGATAGCAGATAAAAATTTTGAGAAAACAAAAAAAGAGTCACTTCTGCAACTGCAGATTAACAAAACTGTTCTTATTATTGCCCTTAAAATAGCACATATATGTGGTTGCAGCGCCACCTACTGTAAAATAATGTTAAATGTACTCAGTCTTTGAGCTACTTTTAAATTCACCACTGGGGTCTTATAACCGAAACATCCCAAGTGTTCACTATTATGATTAAAACTACAGAATATATACTCGATCAAAAAGATACACTAAAGACATTTATGTTATTTTATTTTAAATAAATGCTGTTCTTTTGAACTTTCTATTCAAAGAATCCTGAAAAAATGTATCACAGTTTCCACACACACACACACACACACACACAAAAACAGCACATCTGTTTTCAACATTGATAATAATCAGAAATGTTTCTTCAAATTCAGATTTGATCACAGGAATAAATTGCATTTTAAAACATATTACAATAGAAAACAATTATTTTAAATTGTAATTATATTTCACAATATCACTTTTAATGTTTACTTTATATCTGATCAAAGAAATGCAGCCTTGGTGAGCAGAAGAGACTTATTCCAAAGTTTTAAACTGTAGTGTACTTTTTTGGTGAACTCTTATATTACAAAGACTAAACTTTCATTCTAGATGTGTTATTTTAAAACTATCATTCTAGAAGCATCCCTGACGTTCAGACCTTTGTGGCAATGCGGCACTCCACCACCCTCATGTTGAAGTGAGATGAGGCCGCCTTGTTCATCTCCACACAACAGTTGGCGATTACAAAGAACGCCCCGTCGGGCAACCTCACGTCTGTGGCTCGCAGCGGGTTAAACTCGATCAGCTTTGCCTTGAGGGAAAAAAGTCAAATCAAGCTAAATCCTCATAAACATATTTGTAATGTAGATGCACAGTGTTAAAAATGTCAATAACAAATAAGAGGTAAAAAGAAAAAAATATATATTTTAAAATTCTACATTAAAACACATGTGCCTTAGAAATGTACTCTTTGTATTCATGTTGGTTTTATATGGTAAAAAAAAAAATTGTATACAATTTTCAAAAAAAGAAAAATGTCATGTGGTGTAACCAAAAATAATCAAATAAAATAACACATTTTCCTTAAACCTTGAATAGATCTTAAAGATTACTTTAAAAACGTTTTGAAATATATATTTTGTCAACGTAAAACATCATTTTTATACAAATATCATGCATTTTTCATTTATAAATGACAAGTTATTTGGGTCGTTGTTGTACTACCGTATATGACATTTTTAACAAGTAACAGCTTAAAAAATTGTTTTAATGAGGCATTTTGTCTTCATTATAATATCAAGATGCAACACCCTGACAACTTGACTATTCCCCCAAAAATATCAAAATTAATTTGATGAATTTTAACATATTCATCATATAAAAAAGGTATATTCGGTCACTGTATTGTATGTATGTATGAATTGCATTTTTTATGTATTTTTGAAAAAATTAGATCATACACACACACACCAAAAAAAGCGTCATAGCATCCACCCTTCAAAAATAAATTAAATACCACGTATATTGTTAGAACAAATATGAAATACATGTGGCTTACTGTTCCCTCCTCGCCCAGGAAAGAAATGGACTGATCCATCCCTCCCCCCTCAGTGCCAATATAACGCTCACACTTGGCACACGTCTCCGCGAGAGTCACCTGAAATGAAATCAAAGCGAGCACATGTATGATACGCAGCAGTTGTATGTAATGCAGGATGTACATTAAGGACTACCTTAGAAAGAGACTTCTGATTGGCCTCCATGGTGACCAGACCTGCACAGCACACCAGGGCACTGGAGCTGGAGAGCCCTGAGCTGGCCGGGACAGTCCCGTCTACCACACAACACATCCCTGCTAATGAAGACAAGCTCAAGTGCTCCTGCATACACATGGGCAAGGGGGTCAAATGACTGATTATAATGAAATAATGCAAACATGCATTATGTTTGTCATTAAACACCCCACCTGGATTCCTCTCACTCCACAAAGGAAGTAATAGTACCATTGAGGATTATCTCTGTCAATGGTGATGCCATCAACAGACACAGTGAAATCCCTGTAAGAAGGAAAGAAATAAGTGAGTGAGTAATGAATGAATATTTGAGTTAATAAATTAAGTGAATGAGTAAGTGAGTGAGTGAATTAATTAATAAGTGAGTGAGTGAATAATGAATTAATGAGTGAGTGAGTGAATAATGAATTAATGAGTGAGTGAGTGAATAATGAATTAATGAGTGAGTGAGTGAGTGAGTGAGTGAGTGAGTGAGTGAGTGAGTGAGTGAGTGAGTGAATAATTACTGAGTGAGTGTGTGAATGAATGAATGAATGAATGAATGAATGAGTGAATAATGAATGAGAGTGAATTAATGAATAAGTAAGTGAGTAAATGAATGAATTAATAAATAAATGAGTGAGTGAATGAAATAATGAGTGAGTGAATAATAAATGAGTGAGTGAATGAATTAATTAATAAGTCAGTGAATAATGAACGAATAAGTGAATTAATGAATAAGTAATTGAGTAAATTAATGAATTAATAAATAAATGAGTAAGTGAATAATGAGTGAGTGAGTGAATAATTAGTGAGTGAGTGTGTGTGTGAATTAATTAATAAGTGAGTAAATGAATGAATTAATAAGTCAGTGAATAATTAACAAATAAGTGAATTAATGAATAAGTAATTGAATAAACGAATTAATAAATAAATGAGTAAGTGAGTGCATGAGTAAGTGAGCACATTAATAAAAAAGTGAATGAGTGAGTAAATAATGAATGAATGAGTGAATGAATTAAGTGAGTGAATGAATGAGTGAGTGAGTGTGTGAGTGAATTAATGAATAAGTGAGTGAATTAATAAATAAATAAATGAGTGAGTGAATAATTAGTGAGTGAGTGTGTGAATGAATTAATGAGTGAGTGAATAATAAATGAGTGAGTGAATGAATTAATTAATAAGTGAGTGAATAAATTAATGAATTAATAAATGAGTAAGTGAGTGCATGAGTAAGTGAGCAAATTAATTAAAAAAGTGAATGAGTGAGTAAATAATGAATGAATGAGTGAATGAATTAAGTGAGTGAATGAATGAGTGAGTGAGTGTGTGAATGAATTAATGAGTGAGTGAATGATGAATAAATAAGTGAGTGAGTGAATAATGCATGAATAAGTGAATTAATAAATAAATGAGTGAGTGAGTGAATGAATTAGTAAATAATGAATGAATGAGTGAATGAATTATGTGAGTGAATAAGTGAGTGAGTGAGTGAATGAATTAAGTGAGTAAATAACTAAGCAAGTGAGTAATTTAATTAATTAATTAATAACAATTTGTTGACAAAATGTGACCAATTAAATTGTGAAGAACAGAAGATAAAGAAGATTGTTACTCACTTGTATTTGGGGTCAGTGTTGGTCAGCTGGATTGTTTGGGAGTCACTGACAGAAACTGCAGCAAGAATATTCTGCTCTATTGCCATTGGAAGGACAGCATAGCCACAATAATCAATATGCTCACCTGGAAATGATAAGATTTATGATAAAACATCAAATGCAGTGCTGATGGTATTCGTTATGTTTACACACTGCTTGCAAGTTGCAACCCACCAATCAAATTCACCCTCCCTGGAGCACGAGCGTAGAAGAGAGGCATTTGTCCATATTTTCCATGAAAAGCCTCTTTCAGTTTCTGCAACCTAACAAAAAGAGGGGAAAGTGTATGTGTAACACAAACAAAAACAAACATGAAAGTTAAAAGTGGACTCCATTCATTCACAATCGAAGTTTTCCGAATAGCTGCACGAAGTGTCCCGAACTTACCTTTCATTTCCACTGAGCAGCACCTTGATTTTCGGTGGAACTGTGGCCATTGTGCTGTTTTTAATCTTTGTTTTACAGTGAGTACACTATGCAGGAGTGGACAGACACCGTACAAGTGCTGTCAGCTGACTGTCATACCCGGAATCATGCGTCTAAAACCTAAACAACACGGAAGAAACTCACACGAATCCCTAAAACTGGATTCGGAAACACTCGGAAGGAATCGGAGCTGCGCGCGCACCGTACAGAACGCGCGGCGTGATGTCATAACGCTTTGCCGGTGAGCATTGTGGGTAAGAGTCTCTCTCTCCGGTCAAAATGTCTGACATGGAAGATGATTTCATGTGCGATGATGAAGAGGATTATGACTTGGTACGGCTGTCTAAAATAAACTCAACTGTAAATGCATGTAATTCAATGCTAAGCAAATGTAGCGACATCAGTAAATGTTGTTTAGCGTGTTAATAGGGACTTAATTTCGCAATGGTGTTGTTTAGCAGGTGGCTAGTTTGCTAATACTGCAAAGAATAAGTCAACAAATATGACAGCCTTCTTTTAGTTGGTTTATTTGAAGTTTCGTAAGAGATGCGATGTATTTACAAACCTGATTTCTGATGTCGAATATCTTATGTATATATTGATAACTTGCAGACTCATGTGAAGTTGACTAAATTATAGCTAATGTCCTGCTAGTTATGAAACTGCATGATATCTGATTTCAGTTTGTTGTTAAATATATTATTACGTATACATGTATATATGTACAGTTGTAAATAATCTTAACGTAACTATTGTCATGCTGTTGTCATAATTATAACAACCATGCACTATTAAGCTGTACAATATCCTTCAAGATGTTTTTGCAGGCAAAGACTTTAATTAATCCTTTATGAATAAATTATCCTTTTAACTGTAATTAACATTACACATACCATTTGTTTGCTTTCACTTCAGGAATACTCTGAGGACAGCAACTCTGAGCCCAATGTTGATTTGGAGAATCAGTACTATAACTCTAAAGCCCTCAAAGAAGATGATCCTAAAGCAGCCCTGAGCAGCTTTCAGAAGGTCAGACGCTTTCTGTTTCTGCATCCGTACTGTAACTTTGAATAGGCGTAATAAATAATCACTATTTTCTGTTTTGCAGGTGCTGGAACTGGAGGGTGAGAAAGGAGAATGGGGCTTTAAAGCACTGAAACAGATGATTAAGATCAACTTCAAACTGGTGTGTAACAATAGTAGCACAATATATTGTATAAGATTTAATAAGTAATATTTATAATTCATTTTCTTATTCTCCTGCATTGTCTAACATTTTTTTTTTTGTGCAAATTAAATGTAAAATATTACAATAAAAAATAAGTTGATGTACTATAAAAAAAATCTGCTCATTTGTTTTGTTTTATTCTTATTTTTACAGACAAATTTTCCTGAAATGATGAACCGGTACAAACAGCTTTTGACGTATATTAGGAGTGCTGTCACCAGAAATTACTCTGAGAAATCCATCAACTCTATTCTAGATTATATCTCAACCTCCAAACAGGTATTTAATACATTTTAAACTCCTGTGTTCAGTAATATATGTATATATTAGGGGTGTCGCGATATCCGGCATTGACAATAACCGTGATATTCAAACCATGAAATATCGAAATTGTGTTAATTAAGGGTGTGACAATATATCTCGATAACTGCAACGAGTAGTACACATATGATAATAATAAGACGCCGTAAATAATCCAGGGTCAGCACCTGGTTGGCAACCCAAAGTACAATAGGAGGTGTTATTGCACTTTTACGCTGCCATCTGTCATAAAGCAGAATTTATTCTCATAAATTGAATTTTGATGCCGTGCTATGCTAAAAACGGTTAGCATTTCATCTCCTCTAAATGAAATCATATAGCATCTCTTAAAAATGTTCTATAGATATCAGAATTTTATCATTGATTTAATAAATTCTGGCAATATGACAACAATTTGCCAAATGTTCTTTTCTCTGTAAATACTTTCAAATAGTCTACCATGTTTGAAGTCCAAAGGCTTCATGGACTATGTATTTTAATTTTTGCATGCCATTTCTTAGATATGGGTTCAAAATGGGGACACAAGTTATCAAGTTAAGCTATTAGTTGTGTTTAAAACTCGTTTATAATACTGTTGAACTTGACAGTATTTTCTCTTTCTGTCTCCTATTTCTTAGGCAGTGTCAAAGAAGCCAGAGAAAGCCAGAGTCTCAGTTGTTGTAATTGTTGTATGTAATGTTGTGATTCATTGGCTTAAAAAAGAAAGCAAAACACAAAATATACAAACTAAAGATGAATTTGACTGATAACATAGTTTTTTAAGGTTTCTGTAGAATAGTATATCGTCACTCGAATTCTTAAATTCTGTTAAAAAACTGATATCGTGACAGCCCTAATACACACACACATACACACACACACACACACACACACTTTATATATAAAATTTAAGATCATTATGTTGTTAAAGATAATTAAGTAATATTTATCTATTTACCTTTTTTCCAGATGGACTTGCTTCAAGAGTTTTATGAGACCACACTGGATGCTTTAAAAGATGCCAAAAATGACAGACTTTGGTTTAAAACTAACACCAAGGTTTGTGCTGTGGCAGTGCATTGTGTATTTAAATGATCTGTTTTATATTACAGATATACACTTATGTATCAGGAACAATAATATGCACAGTATAAATGACTGTCAATCACAGTATATAATTGTCAATGCAATGCCCTTTAATAGTGACCAGCAAACTGCAGAAAGGATGTGTAATTCAAGAATACTGCTAACTTCTGCTCCTGTGTTTCATGTAGTTGGGAAAGTTGTACCTGGAAAGAGAAGAGTTTGGAAAGCTCCAGAAAATCCTCAGGCAATTACACCAGTCATGTCAGGTAGAGTAAATGATCAGTAAAACCAAACTGTCAATGTCTTCAAATGTCTAATGTGCTGTCCTGAACCTGATCGATGTTCTTAATAGACGGATGACGGAGAGGACGACTTGAAGAAGGGCACTCAGCTGTTGGAGATCTATGCTTTGGAGATTCAGATGTATACGGCACAGAAAAACAACAAGAAACTGAAAGCCCTCTATGAGCAGTCATTACACATCAAATCAGCCATCCCACACCCACTCATCATGGGAGTCATCAGAGGTATTTTACACATTTTTAGTCTATTTTAATACCAAAGATAAAGTTGATAAAATGAAGACATAAAAAAAAAAAACGTTTTTGTTTTGTGCATAATTAGTTTTGTTTTATTTATTTTGTACAATTTGAAAGTTGGTTTGTTTTATTTTGTTTTTGTATAATAAAACTTTAGTTTTTTTTTTTTTTTTTTTTTATGTACAATTGGAAAGATTTGGTTTTGTTCAATTGGAAAGTTTACTTTTGTTTTGTGTATAATAAGCATGTTTGTTTGTTTTGTTTATTGTGAATAACGAAACCAATTTGGTTAGTTTTTTTATTTATTTTGTGTGTTTAACTGGACAGTTTCTTTTGTTTATGGTGGAAAGTTGGAAAGTCCACTAATTTTCTTTGACTTGTGACCTGTTCTCTTCAGAATGTGGTGGTAAAATGCACCTGAGGGAGGGCGAGTTCGAGAAGGCGCATACAGACTTTTTCGAGGCATTCAAAAACTATGACGAGTCTGGAAGCCCCAGACGAACCACTTGTCTGAAGTACCTGGTCTTGGCCAACATGCTGATGAAGTCTGGAATCAACCCATTTGATTCTCAAGAGGTATATGGTGGCAGTCATGCACAGGCCCACATGCAATCTGTCTAAGGCCATCAGAAAGTTCAGCAGAACCATCAATTACACAATTCTACACATTCTTCATCATTGCATGTTCATATATTAAATATTTTGGTGGATTTGCTTTCATTGACCAATAAGTATGTTGGACTCTGTTTCACTTAGCATCTCAACTTGTAAAGCAACTTATTTCCCCCAGAATCAGTGCAGAAAAGCACAACACTGCAGATTATATCTGGGTCTGGTCATAGAAGGTCAAATTTTGTGGTCTATTATAACAAAAAATAACAAAAAAAAACAAATTCTTTCCATGTCGCTCTGTGACTAGGCAAAACCTTACAAAAATGATCCAGAAATCCTGGCAATGACAAACCTAGTAAGGTAAGTGTGCACAATACCACTTTTCATTTATCCGGTCCTCTTCTATTTAACTCAATTTTTATGGTCTGAATTAATTGCTTATAATCTGTCTAGTTCCTACCAGAACAATGACATCACAGAATTTGAGAAAATCCTAAAGACGAATCACAGCAACATAATGGACGACCCCTTCATCAGAGAACATATTGAGGGTCAGTTTGGGTGGCTTTTGGCTTCCTTGTACATATTCTACTTATTACTCATAAATCTCATACATATTTTTATTTTCCCTTTTCCCTTCAGAATTGTTACGGAACATAAGAACGCAAGTGCTCATCAAATTGATTAAGCCTTACACTAGGATACACATACCATTTATTTCAAAGGTAAATCTATATTGTATTCTAGTTATTATAGTGTAGTAAATATATGATATTATTATAACATGCTTTCATGTCCCTGTTTTTCTTTAGGAATTGAATATTGATGTTTCAGATGTGGAAAGCTTGCTTGTGCAGTGTATTTTAGACAAGTAAGTTTAATCCAATTTTTATCTAGATTATTTTAAAAAAAATGTACAAATGTTTTTTTATACTCTTTCACTGCAAATATATACACTCACCGGCCACTTTATTAGGTACACCTGTCCAACTGCTCGTTAACACTTAATTTCTAAGCAGCCAATCACATGGCGGCAACTCAGTGCATTTAGGCATTTAGACATGGTCAAGACAATCTCCTGCAGTTCAAACCGAGCATCAGTATGGGGAAGAAAGTTGATTTGAGTGACTTTGAACGTGGCATGATTGTTGGTGCCAGAAGGGCTGGTCTGAGTATTTCAGAAACTGCTAATCTACTGGGATTTTCACGCACAACCATCTCTAGGGTTTACAGAGAATGGTCCGAAAAAGAAAAAACATCCAGTGAGCGGCAGTTCTGTGGGCGGAAATGCCTTGTTGATGCCAGAGGTCAGAGGAGAATGGCCAGACTGGTTCGAGCTGATAGAAGGGCAACAGTGACTGAAATAACCACTCGTTACAACCGAGGTATGCAGCAAAGCATTTGTGAAGCCACAACACGCACAACCTTGAGGCGGATGGGCTACAACAGCAGAAGACTCCACCGGGTACCACTCATCTCCACTACAAATAGGAAAAAGAGGCTACAATTTGCAAGAGCTCACCAAAATTGAACAGTTGAAGACTGGAAAAATGTTGCCTGGTCTGATGAGTCTCGATTTCTGTTGAGACATTCAGATCTTAGAGTCAGAATTTGGCGTAAACAGAATGAGAACATGGAACCATCATGCCTTGTTACCACTGTGCAGGCTTGTGGTGGTGGTGTAATGGTGTGGGGGATGTTTTCCTGGCACACTTTAGGCCCCTTAGTGCCAATTGGGCATCGTTTAAATGCCACGGCCTACCTGAGCATTGTTTCTGACCATGTCCATCCCTTTATGGCCACCATGTACCCATCCTCTGATGGCTACTTCCACCATGTCACAAAGCTCTAATCATTTCAAATTGGTTTCTTGAACATGACAATGAGTTCACTGTACTAAAATGGCCTCCACAGTCACCAGATCTCAACCCAATAGAGCATCTTTGGGATGTGGTGGAACGGGAGATTCGCATCATGGATGTGCAGCCGACAAATCTGCGGCAACTGTGTGATGCCATCATGTCAATATGGACCAAACTCCCTGAGGAATGCTTCCAGCACCTTGTTGAATCTATGCCACGAAGAATTGAGGCAGTTCTGAAGGCAAAAGGGGGTCCAACCCGTTACTAGCATGGGGTACCTAATAAAGTGGCCGGTGAGTGTATATTAATTTGATGTTGTATGTCTTTCAGCACAATCAACGGTAGAATTGACCAGGTCAATCAGCTGTTGGAGCTCGATCACCAGAAAAGAGGCGGAGCCAGATACACCGCTCTGGACAGATGGACCAATCAGCTGAACTCTCTCAACCAGGCCATTGTGAGCAAACTGGCTTGATTTGACACTGACGATCACGGAGAACAAATTCACCCATCAGGCAGCCGGTCGATTCGAGGCTGTCAGTGACATTAACTACTTTCGAGCCCTTTACTCCCCCGATCACAGATTGACTTGAAGCGGGAGCGTAATTTGGCTAGTTTGTATTTTTACAGCTGTAGTCACTTAAGTCTGTTTTAAATGTCCTTAACAAAGCAGAAGTTCCCACAGGATGTCTGCTGTACTGATTTGTTAGGTCTCTAATATGAATATGTTTGCATCACCTGAAAAAAATCTTACTTCAATAACACATATTGGCACTTGGCAGACATTTTAAATTGTTTGTCTTAAATGGAAAGCGTGAAGACGTGCTGTGTGAAATTGAGTCATTTATCTGTTGAACTCTGTCTGTCTCTTGTTAGAGTCAGCATGTTTTACTTGGTTTGCATAAGATTCAGTTGAGTTTTATGATGTTGCACCGCAGCACATGCGTATTGAAAGTGCCGTCATTGCTAGAATTCCTCACCAAACTTTACAGATCTGTTGAAACTTTAACGCTGCCTGAGCTCTTCTGTTTCACTTTTCAACAACAAAAATAAAGAATGCATTTGTTGCTTCAGCGGAAAATGTGTCTGGAATGGTTTATGATTTTATATGTGATAAGCAATGAAGTTTATCTCAATAACACAGACCAACATTATACAGCAGCCTTCATATAGAGACTATATTTCAACTGATAAAAAAAAAAAAACTGAATATTAATCAGATCACAGAAAATATCATGCATACACTATACGGCCAAAAGTCCTCAGCTGGAATAACCAATCCCATTAAGTACAATGGAGTTTCACATACATTTGTATGTTTAGGCATTTAACAATAAAACTATTATATTTTAAACAACGTGTAATATAAAGTATATTAAAAAATGTACATAATATCTATATAATTTTATAAACAAAATATTATGGCCATCACCTTGGCCAGGTTTCTCTTGTAAAATAGATTTTTGATCTCAATGAGACTTCCTGGTAAAATGAAAAAATTAATAATGAATTACAATGGGATTTCACTTGCATGTTTTGGAACTTTACAGTAATTTTATTTTATATTTAATGCTAATATAAATATTACATGAACACACACAATCCTTATAAATTGTATATGCAACCTAAAAAATATATATATAATAATGTTATTATTACTACTATCACTTTTGTCATGAATAATATATTCATTGAATTACATTTCTGTCATTTGATATGCCGTAACCATTGGCTGTAACGTTCACGTGACGTCATCCCTCCCGTCAGCCAATCAGAATCCAGGACTTTTGCCGCTGTTTAGAGCGCCATGTTTCAATGGACGGATACTATATCAATATATTTGCAGTAATATCGTTTTTAGTCCGCATTAAACGAGTTTTACCATCTGATTCTGTAACGGCTGAACAGACATTCGCTGACCGTTTATTTATCATGCTCGTGTCATTTCAAATCAATATTGAGCTTGTGAGTCTCCGAGACACTGTTATGTTCCTCATATTAAAAGCACTTTATTTCGGATTATTGTGTTAATGTAGCACTCCGGCGACTTTTGAAAGACTTTAAAGGTAAGAAGAGACTATTTAAACACGAATACCGTTTGTATAGTGCTAAATGAAATACATTTCTGCTGCGACAGTCCGAATAATGTGTTAGGGGTTGAAGAGAAACTATAAATATATAGTATTAACAATGTTCTATGATGCTAACTTACATACGCTGCGCACTACTAGCATATAGGAAAGCAGTTGGTCTCGTTTTTTATGAGTTGGACTGGTTAAATGAAGTGGTTGCTGGTTATTTCCTGTCTCAGGTGTGTCGTGTCTCCTCTCAGGTCAGCAGGATGTCCATTGATTTTGACAGTGCTGCTTTACAGACCCAGCAGGAGGAAGAGGAGTATGATCAGGAAGACTACGCCAGAGAACAAGAGGTATCTGTCCCGTTACTGAACCCTGCAGTTATTTCACAGTAATACACAAACACACCCACCAAACTCGCTTCTGTCATCAGTAGAAATGCATAACTTACTGCAGACACAAAAAAACAACAATCTGATAAATTGTGTGCAGGAACATCAAGGGCTGGTTATTTTAATCTAGTAGATTCAAAGTTTTAAATGAGACCTGTCAGTGATATTAGGAATGGAAGCCACGACTTACTGATGAAATTGACTGTTTATGTCATAATTTTGACTGTTTTTAGGCTATGTCATAGTTTTGGCTTTTCATCTTATAAATATGACTTATGCTGCGTCCGAAATCAAATACTTTCCTACTATGTAGTATGCGAAAACAGTACGCCAACACAGTAGTATGTTCTAAAGAGCACATTCGATAGACACTTTGCTATCCCATGAGGCCACGGGAGAGGATTTGAAAAACAAAACAATTATTAGGCTTTAAACAACAAAATAATACAACATACACTTTGAAGCCAGGCGAGCAAATAACACGCGCATTAAAAAAAAAAATAATTCACAAAAATACAAGACCTTTGTATCATTCAACGGGAGAAGATTTATGAATGGCAGTGCAGCTAAACTGACTGGTAGGTCACGTGACAGTAACAACATGGCGGATGTAGTACATCCGAATTTCATTCATACTACCCTTATTGATACTAAATAGAACATACTTTTAACGATCACAAAGTAAATTTAAATGTTGTACCTACTCAGACAGCATGCGATTTCAGTCGCAATGTTTGTGTCATAATTTCATAAAAGTTAGTGTCAAACTTTTTATGTCATAAATAATTAAGATTCACAAAATACAGGTCCTTCTCAAAAAATTAGCATATTGTGATAAAGTTCATTATTTTCCATAATGTAATGATAAAAATTAAACTTTCATATATTTTAGATTCATTGCACACCAACTGAAATATTTCAGGTCTTTTATTGTTTTAATACTGATGATTTTGGCATACAGCTCATGAAACCCCAAAATTCCTGTCTCAAAAAATTAGCATATCATGAAAAGGGTCTCTAAACGAGCTATTAACCTAATCATCTGAATCAACTAATTAACTCTAAACACCTGCAAAAGATTCCTGAGGCTTTTTAAAAACTCCCAGCCTGTTTCATTACTCAAAACCGCAATCATGGGTAAGACTGCCGACCTGACTGCTGTCCAGAAGGCCATCATTGACACCCTCAAGCAAGAGGGTAAGACAGAAAGAAATTTCTGAACAAATAGGCTGTTCCCAGAGTGCTGTATCAAGGCACGTCTGTGGGAAGGAAAAAGTGTGGCAAAAAAACGCTGCACAACGAGAAGAGGTGACCGGACCCTGAGGAAGATTGTGGAGAAGGACCGATTCCAGACCTTGGGGGACCTGCGGAAGCAGTGGACTGAGTCTGGAGTAGAAACATTCAGAGCCACCGTGCACAGGCGTGTGCAGGAAATGGGCTACAGGTGCCGCATTCCCCAGGTCAAGCCACTTTTGAACCAGAAACAGCGGCAGAAGCGCCTGACCTGGGCTACAGAGAAGCAGCACTGGACTGTTGCTCAGTTTTGCATGTCATTCGGAAATCAAGGTGCCAGAGTCTGGAGGAAGACTGGGGAGAAGGAAATGCCAAAATGCCTGAAGTCCAGTGTCAAGTACCCACAGTCAGTGATGGTCTGGGGTGCCATGTCAGCTGCTGGTGTTGGTGCACTGTAGTGTTGTCAAAAATATCGATATTTCGATAAATATCGATACTGAAATATCTGAACGGTACCAATACTAATTTCCCGAAGTATCGATACTAGCCGAGCAGTCACTTTCACTTCTCTCAAAAGGCGCGTTGACAAACACCACACGTGACGCACTCGTCTCATTCGCTCTGGTTAAATAGCAAAAGTGAAGTGAATGGAAAGATGGCGAGGGCCGAGCCCCCGCGACCGGCTTTGGTTGATTGATAAAGAACACCACGAGCGGGCATGTCGGACAATAGCGCGGACACGCGTAAAAAACACACCGCGAGCGGGCATGTCGGAGTCGGAGAATAGCGCGGACACGCGTAAAAAACACTCCGCGAGCGGGCATGTCGGAGTCGGAGAATAGCGTGGACACGAGCTACACACCGCGAGCGGGCATGTTGGAGTCGGAGAATAGCGTGGACACGCGTAAAAAACACACCGCGAGCGGGCATGTCGGAGTCGGAGAATAGCGTGGACACGCGCTACACACCGCGAGCGGGCATGTTGGAGTCGGAGAATAGCGTGGACACGAGCTACACACCGCGAGCGGGCATGTCGGAGAATAGCGCGGACACGCGAGCGGGCTGCGGGCACCCAACAGATTGTTTGACTATCAATAATCCCTCACATCACTCATTTTTTAAAATTATTGTATAGGTGTAAACACACTTAAGGAACAGGCTCCAGGGGTAGGCTACTATTTAGCAGCATATGCTCCGCATCAGGGGTGTTTGTTGTTTGGACAGACCTGCCCCCACTGCTAAAAAAATCCTCAAGGAAACACTGTAACTCTTCTCATTTGAACTTTTCTGAAACATTAACCAAGATGGCCTAGTATTGTTGTTGATAAGAGTCTGTGTTGTCTCGTTTTAATTCTTAAAGTTAACATAATCTGACTGAGGAATCTTAGACAAGTTAATATTGTAACTGTGGCCAAATGTAAATTAACTGGTGCCTATTTAACTTTATTCAAAAATTATTATTTATTCTGCAATTTTCCTTCATTAGCTATTATCATCAATTTGATTACACAGATATTAATTAAACTAAACAGCTAGACAATGGCATCTCTAAATTCAATAATGACATGCCTTTAACTGAAAATTGAATGTTTAATCTTATCATTATACATTACTGACTCTCTATCCTCCAATTTGATACTGTTAAGTGCTTTTTTGTTACAGTATATTTTAATCTTTGATAACAGTAGGTAATAAAAATACATCATGTTAGCTCTGGTCCAATTAAAAAATATAAACAAATAGAACTCAGGACATTTTTGTTCATGTAAAATATACCTCATTGTCATGTTCTAGACTTGTTATATTTAGCTTTAAATTAAAAAAATACCCCCTTAATATTGTGGCAGTTTTTTCTCCGTGGTATCGAAAATGGTATCGAATATCGATATTTTTCAAGGTATCGTATCGAAGTTAGAAATTCTAGTATCGTGACAACACTAGTGCACTGTGTTTTATCAAGGGCAGGGTCAATGCAGCTAGCTATCAGGAGATTTTGGAGCACTTCATGCTTCCATCTGCTGAAAAGCTTTATGGAGATGAAGATTTCATTTTTCAGCACGACCTGGCACCTGCTCACAGTGCCAAAACCACTGGTAAATGGTTTACTGACCATGGTATTACTGTGCTCAATTGGCCTGCCAGCTCTCCTGACCTGAACCCCATAGAGAATCTGTGGGATATTGTGAAGAGAAAGTTGAGAGACGCATGACCCAACACTCTGGATGAGCTTAAGGCCGCTATCGAAGCATCCTGGGCCTCCATAACACCTCAGCAGTGCCACAGGCTGATTGCCTCCATGCCACGCCGCATTGAAGCAGTCATTTCTGCAAAAGGATTCCCGACCAAGTATTGACTATTGAGTGCATAACTGAACATAATTATTTGAAGGTTGACTTTTTTTTTTTGTATTAAAAACACTCCTTTTATTGGTCGGATGAAATATGCTCATTTTTTGAGACAGGAATTTTGGGGTTTCATGAGCTGTATGCCAAAATCATCAGTATTAAAACAATAAAAGACCTGAAATATTTCAGTTGGTGTGCAATGAATCTAAAATATATGAAAGTTTAATTTTTATCATTACATTATGGAAAATAATGAACTTTATCACAATATGCTAATTTTTTGAGAAGGACCTGTATAATCAGAAATTCGACTCCTGTGATACCATTAATAAACAATGCATCTTTCACTCTGTTAATTTCTGTCTGTACTTCACATGTAAATCATTGATTGCACATGCTAGTTTCAGTATTTTCAACTAGTTTCACTTTGTACGATTTTGGCAATGATTTGGCTTGACAAATTTTAAGAATGTTTAAAGATTTCTCTGTTCCTTGGCCAAAATCTGAAGTCTTTGATCGCTAGATTGACATGTTCACCGACAGCCGATTCAATAGGAGCGCAGATCCTGATGACGCAACTAGTGAGACAACAACAAACCACCACTTGCTCCACACACACACACGTCGTCTTCATTTTTCTTCGGTTTTCAAGACAATCCATGATCAAAATTGGAGACTGTTTTTGTTTGCAAGCCACCAGTTCAATCCCGCATGTACATGCAGCTCACGTCACTGAACGTGTGTGTCACGGATTGATGATGTTAAACGCTGGATGGGTTTTCTTGCATCTTCTTGACTGTCAAACAGTCTGACATTACAACAGAGATCTACAGTGTGACATGATGGCTTATAGCGAGAACTGTACAGCTTACATCATCTAATTACACGAAGTCTGAGCAGTGAACATGGAAACATACACAACAAGATTATTCAATAAACTCTGCTCTTTTTATTATCATCACTTTGTCTCCTGCTTCTGCTCTTCCCTGGCTTTCTCAGTCAAACTCTCAGGCTGATAGAAGACTTATATTCAGCGTCCGGGGTCGGATCTGATATTTCTGACATGGAGATCCATCTGATCTAACATTTTGGCACGATCTAACAAATTGAATAGAAGGCTAAATTGTGATTTTACAAAAAGAGTGAAAATGGTGCCCAGTTTCTGCATTTAAACATATACACTTCCCATTATACACTATCGTTCAAAAGTTTGGGGTTAGTAAGAATTTTCTTTTTTCAAAGAAATTGATATTCAGCAAGGATGAATTAAACTGATTTAAAGGTGACAGTAAAGGCATTTTTAATGTTGTAAAAAAAAAAAAAGTTTAAATAGATACTGTTCTTTTGAACTTTCTATTAATAAAAAGAATCCTGAAAAAATCATCATCACCATGATTTCCACAAAAATATGAAGCAGCACAGCTGTTGTTTCAAGAAATGTTTCTTGAGCAGCAAATCATTATATTAGAGTGATTTCTGAAGGATCATGTGACACTGAAGACTGGAGTAAAGATGCTGAAAATTCAGTTTTGATCACAGGAATAAATTACATTTTAAATATACCCAAATAGAAAGCAGTTATTTTGAATTGTAATTATATTTCACAATATTACTGTTGTTTAGTGTATTTGTAATCAAATAAATGCAGCTTTGGTGAGCAGAAGAGAATCTTAGTGACTCAAAACTTTTGAACAGTTTTATATATATGTTATATATATATAAACAAATGTATTCATAACATTATATTGTGTTCAGGCGCATAACCTAGGCCTATGTCAATTAAGATTTATGTCTATTATGAGACATAATAGGTCTCCACCCTAAAAATACCATGTACCACTAACAATAGCAAGCAGCAAATCATGTATGTATACTTTGTATAAAAATTAAAAATGTGTTTGCTTTCCAAAAACTCGTGTGTGTGTGTGTGTATATATATATATATATATATATATATATACACACACACACACACATGCATTTTTGGAAAGCAAACACATTTTTAATTTTTATATCTGCTAAAAGTTATTTTGACCGCTTTTAGAAAAGACCTCAAAGCTTACAGATATTTGATCATTTTTGTGTCTTCAATATTGGGTACTGTAATGCTAATCAAGTCCTTCTGTCTGTAAAATTCTGTGATATGGCTTGCATGCACTCACTGATCTATATGTCATTACATAGATCAGTGCATGCACTGTAACCATTAATAGTGCTGTAAGAAATGGAAGAGTTAGCCTAGATTTAGTGTTTTCTTGTGATTTTTGTTTCAGCGTTAGCAAAAAATAGGGTCTTACAGCTGACTTTTACTGTAGGCAGTCACCCGGCCCACATTTGTTGAATAATACTTCATGATTATTCATATTAGTAGTTAAAGTTCTTCTCTTTTCGGTCACATGCAGTAACCGTGTTTGTTTTTAAAGGGCAGATCTTCTCCAATCAGAAACGTGTGTGTTCTGACTCACCTCACAGCTATCAGCTCCATGAATGAACATTGGCTGCCATTGGTGCAAGTGCAATGCAGTCAGGTGTGTTTGCTGTGTTTCCACTGCCCTGCATACTCAGAGCTCTTAACTGAGAGATAATGAGAGATTCTGTCTCTGGGTAAACATTTGCACTGAATGGAGGGAGAAATTGTCGCCACTTTTCATATGGATTAGAATCGGAAAGTAATAGTATGAGGTGAATGGAACCATCGATTCATCGGTCATTTTCAGCGGCTGTTTGTCTTTTTTGTCCATCAGAGGAGGAATGTTTCTGCTCCAGTTAACTGAAGCGTATATTCTGACCCCCACAATGGGCCGACCTCAGCCTGGACAAACGAGGATTGCTTAGTTCCTCGTTTTCTGCTTTCTTTTCTCATATGACTCACACTGCTGAAATCCAGCATTGCACACAATACTCCTTCAGTATGTCATTGAGTCCAAGAGCTCCTGCTGTAGCTGTCGTAAGATTGTAAATGCGGGAAAGTTTCATTTCCGAGGGAACGTTTCAGGATGTGCGAGTCATCCAGCAGGAGTTATGGAGGGTGAGTTTGACTGTCTGTCCTCTGATCTGTTTTATCATGAGTTGCTGAAAGTTAAGTGTGCTAGGCTCCTTTAAGACGCCTCAGGGCCATGTGTTGGTGTTTGTGTGAGAGTTCAGCGTGTCTGTAACCGGGCGGGTGTGTTTTTTTAAACGGTTGCTACGAGCTCTGCGCTGAATCGGTTGCTTGCACATGCTTGTTTCATTTCTCATAGTTTCAGTGTTTCCCTTAAAACAATGTTGTATTGATGTCAGCTGATTTTAAATACCAAGCAAAGAAAGTTGTCATGGTCAAACTCACAAAGATTTGCATTCATAGCACTGAATGACTTTTTTTCTGACTTTCGTAAATTGTTTTGTTTGAGGAAAAACATAAAAATATACAGTTATAGTTTAGTTTTTATCAATTTAATTTAGTTGATTAGTTTGGAATCAACTGTGTTTAGCTTTGTTTTACTTCAGATGACAAGGACATTTCCATTTAAGTTGATATTAAAAGGCTAATCCCAACAACACTCCTTCTCTCGAATGGCTCGGACACTGCAGAGCGCAGTTTATCTGGACCAAACACCGATAATAACATTGTCATAGAATTATTGATATGTATTTGGTTTTAAATAGTAAAATATTGTTAAACGAATAAAGAAAAGTCAATTCGGTAAAAGCACATTTAGTTCAAATTAACCAAGATCCAAAGTTACTAATAGCAGTAATGTCATACTAATATCTCCAGTCTGACCTTGGCTTTTCGCATCCAAGTGGACCTGAGAAGACCTTGCGCCGTAACAGTCTGGCGGAGGTGAAAAAGCCTCATGGCTACGGTTCTGAAAGATGGGTTTCTTGTTTTAGCTCCACAAGCTCCTGACTGATCTCCCTGATGATATGCTGGATGACAGTGGTGACTGCTCCTCACCTGAGCTCCACCGCTCCACCTGCAGTCTTCCAGGAGACAACAACAGGTAAACGGTACCAAAACTAGTGCTTTACTGATGTATCGCCAAGGTATATTATTATTCTTCAAGTTCTCGGTATCTGCCAATACATTTTTCTGAATGGCCGATAAGTGTTGGAAGCAGGACTTTTATTTTGTCCCAGCGGCTGAGCGCACAAGACACACAAGAGCTCCCATTCTCCATCTTCATTATTACTGTTCTAATAATTGGTGGCATTCAGAAAACACATTTTAATATATTTAACATTATAATATCTAATAAACATGTACTGACTCAAACCTCATAAACTTGCAGTTCAGATTGTTAGATATGATGCGCAGCCTGAATATAAACTGCATTACTGATTACTTTTTTACTTACTAAATCCTATATCAACCTCAACCAAGGATAGACATGAAACTGCTCTTTTAATTCTTTCAAATACCGGTAAATAATATAAAATTGCATAAATGACTTCCCAGACTTACTGAGTGCACGGTTGGTTCAAATGTTTGCTTTATTTATTCTTGTTTTTTATTTATTTATTTATGCAACTAATAGGATTATAGAATCAAGAAGTTGCCATCTGAAGTATAAATCTGTTTATTTTATAGATTATTTTTGATCGATTTCAAATTATTTTTACATTTTAGTAAATATTGTGTAATATAAATTTAATTGCAGAAATTTTGCAAGTGTTATTTACTATCGTTAAATGAAATAGAGCAATGTCATATAGTCCTATATCCGCTTTATATCTGCCATCAGCCGCTCTGCTCTCTAAGATCCAAAAATCCATATCGGCCAACCTATAATCAAAACACCCTTATGCAACACTTAACTCAAATACCTGTTTAATAAAACATGCTGTACATAAATGTATTGTGTTGTCTGTTTATCTTTCAGACTGGAATGTGCTCAGCAAGCCTGGAATGTGCCACAATGGGAGCATCCAAGACCTTCCCATGAGGAAGTGAGTTTATCTTAGGACCCCCTTGAAAACGAGATGATGCATCTCAAGGGGTTTATCCTAATAAATAAAATTTACAATAAATAATCAGTTTAATTCTGAGGGTCATTGAAAGGAGGAAACCGGTCATGTAAAACTAAATTACGGCTGGTGCATTTAATATACTATTACAAGTTTGTTTTTCTTGCATGTGTTACAGCACTATGAAGAGCACGATCAAGGCTCTCTTCATGAGGACTACAGTTATAGGAGTCACACGTCTCAGACCAACAGTCACCCTCATCACCTCCAGGCCGGGACAGAACATTTACCCACCGGCTGGGACCCGCAGAACGGACAGAACTACCAGTACCAGAGAGGAGACTATGCACACTCATCCGCAGGCACGGACGAGTCCCACGCCACCGACTTCTCCACTGGGGACGGGCCGGAGCAGGACACGTACACTCATAACGCTCTTCATCACGGGGCAGTTTACCAGGGAGACGAGGCCCAGGGCCATGGAGAGCATAACCTCATCAGAAACCGCTTTGAGGTGAATGTCTGCAGCCGATCTTTACTTCCTTTATTAAAAATTGTTTGGCCAATTTATAATTTTGCACATTTGTTGAAGGTTTTTGATAATGGAGGAGCTGGGAACAAACCCACTGACCACTACAAGACCAGTTACCACCCACATCAACCTCCAAATCAGCCGAAGATGTTCAATCCTCAAGTGAGCAGTGAGAATGGCCACTTTGACCAGCTTCAGAGGGACTTCCTGGACTCAACACAGAGTGAGATACTGTTATACACTACTGCTCAAAAGTTTGGGGTCAGTAAGAGTTAAGGTTTTTGAAAGAAGTCTCTTCTGCTCACCAAGGCTTCATTTATTTGAAGTAAAAACAACAATATTGTGAAATAATTATTACAATTTAAAATTCTGTTTTAATGTATTTTAAAATGTAATTTATTCCTGTAATCAAAGCTCTTTTTTCCGCATCATTACTCCGGTCTTCAGTGCCACATGATCCTTCAGAAATCATTCTAATATGATGATTTGCTGCTCAAGACACATTTCTTATCAATGTTGAAAACAACTTTTGCTTCTTAGTATTTTTGTGGAAACCGTTATAGATTTATTTTGTCAGGACTCTTTGATGAAGAGAAAGTAACAGCATTTATTTGAAATAGAAATACAAATCTTTTGTAACAATGTAAAAGCCTTTACTTTCACTGTTGATGAATTAAAGGATTCATTTCTTTAAAAGAAATCTTATTGACCCCAAACTTTTAAACTGTGGTATAATTAATATAATCTGAAATGGATTGAAAACCGATATTTGCAATGACTATGTTAGTAGTATTTTAGCATTCTGAAGTGTGTTGTATGAATGTTGTTCAGATACATCAGAGGGTCAGCAGCTGTCGCAGCTACAGATTTTAAACCGAGCTCAGTCCAGACAGATCGAGGAGCTGGAACAGAAACTAGAGGACTGCAGGAGGAGGATGAGATATCTGGAGCACCAGTTCGCCATCGTCAAAGGTCAGATTTATACGATTTTAAAGTCAGCTTTGAAATGAGCTTCAAAAAGGTATTAGCCCTTATAATGCATACAAAACTATACTCTTTTTATATTCTGGGTCAGTTTTGAGCCAGTGAAACGTAAGCTTACAGTCATTGGTGTTTTTTTTTTTGTTTTTTTTAATGAAAACTATTTATCTGATGTATAGTGAATGTGAAAACATTTAAAAGTTTTGCATTTTACAATGTTATTACAACACATTACTTTTTTAACTACAAAACTTTGGATATTCAAATTATACATGAAACAAAAACGCATCTTAATACCAGGTGTAAACCGTTCTCATTGGGTCTCATTGGTTTTATTACTGTTTGTTTTCATCAAGATGAGAAGGACGGACTGACGGTATCACTGAGGGAGTCCAGCGCTCTGGTAGGGGAGGCGAAAGAGAGAGAAGCTCAGCTGCAGGGGAGAATCAGATCTCTGGAGAAACAGATTCAGTCTCTCACAGACAGAGAGCAAGAGGTACGAGCAACATGAGCAAAGTAAAAGCACGCATTTAGAGCTTGTTCAAATAGTGTAAAGCGCTAAAACACTGAGTGAGAAGAACCCTTGTAAGAGAGGAAACGTGTGCGTACACAGAGCGTAAAGCAGCAGCGTGTGGCCGAGGCTGCGATGGACAGCATGAAGCAGCAGATGATGGAGCTGTGTCGCTCGGACACTCTCACGCGAGCACGTGAGCAGCACGATAGGGACACGGCCGCCATCCGGGAGCAGTCTGAAGCCAGACTGCTCACACTTCAGCAGAAACTAGACGCCCAATCACAGAGTCTGAATGAGCAGGTCAGAGATATGTAGATATGAATTATTCCTGAGTGCAGGTTAACCCCTTACAGGCGGTATTCACCAGAGGGCAGTGCAGGCCTGTGTTTCTCACTCTGTGTGTTTCTCAGGCTGAGGCAGGCCAGCGTTTGCTGGATCAGGTCCGGCAGCTGGAGCGTCAGAGGGAAGAGGATCAGGTGGACAGAGCCTCTGTCATCAACACCCTCACACAGCGCCTGGAGGAGAGCCAGCAGCAGTGTGCCAAACTACTCCACACTGGTATGTGGCATCCCGCGTGCTTCTGTTTATGTTTACTGTTGTGATTGCTGGAGTCTCATGGGTAATCAAATGGGCCAGTAATCTTTTTCTCTTGCGGTTAAAACAGTTTAAGCCTTACAGTTAAACTGCATTGACTCAAATACATATTTGAGCAACGATTAAGAATCCGGGAACCTTCACCTTACCAGAAGGTGGTTGGGTTTTTACAAATTGTCTTATGATTACATAAAATCCTATTTATTATTATTATTATTATTATTATTATTATTATTACAAATGCATTATTATTACAATTATTATTTTTTTATTCATTATTTTTTTCTTTTACTTTGATATATATTTTTTCTCTCACGTTCTCTTTAAAATATATATATATATAAAATACATGCATTTTAATACATTTTTTTTAACTTTCTTTGTTACCCTTAAAAATTAATATTTGAAATAATGTTTTATTAAATCATTATCATTGTTATCACTATTATTGTGGTTTAATAATAAAAAGTATGTTTTATTACAATTATTATATTTTATATTTTAAAATAATATAGTATTATAACGTAAATATAAATTGTATCATCTTTTTTATCTTTTTATTTTTTTACTCATGCTCCCTATATTTTTAAAATATTAATTATTTGAAATATTTTATTATATTTGTATTGTTGTTGTTGCTTAATTAGTTAATTAATTATTGCAATTATTATATTAAAAAACAAGTATTATAATAAAATACAAACAGCTCATTTCTTTAATTTATCTAAATTCTTTTATTTTTATTTATTTATTTTGTATTCTTATTTTCAAAGAGTCCATATTCTTTACTTTCGTACCATTTTATTTTTCTCCAGAAATCAATTTATAAGGTTTCTTAAAGTGAAAACTCTTGTTTTAAATAAAGGAAAATCATGTTTTCCGTGTGTCCTCTTGATGAATGCCCAGAGGAAGTTTGGTCTCCCATGTGCCGGTTACCATTTTCCCAAAGCATCTTCTGTTCTCTGCAGGCTCTGTACAGGAGATGAGCCAGTTACAGATGAAGCTTCAGCAGACCCAGTCTGCTCGCACCATCAGTGAAGACATCAACAAAACCCTGCAGGTCAGTCAATCCACTGCTGTTTGAAAAGATTTCAACTCATGGGAAACTGAAGCTGTCCTTAATACGTCTACAAACAGAGCCTGTGTGTTTCTTCACTTAACAGGAGGAGTTGACTGACCTGAAGGAGCAGATCAATCTCTATGAGTCTGCCATTAAACATGGAGCCCTTTCATTAGAGTCTAATAGAGACTGGGACAACCATCTGTCTGAGTCCTACATGGACCTGGGGATCAAGAAGTCCAAGTGGAGAAATGGACTCATCCACAGGTAACGTTATATTGTACAATAATGATCCAAACTGCGTTGCTGCATTGTATATTGTAAAATCTTATAACCATAACTTTGTTACACACTTTGTTCCAGCACACCTCAGATTGCAGAAGCAGGAGACCCCAACCTGCTGAAGGAGGACGTGGTGCGAGAGCTGAGGAGCGAGCTGCAGCGCTGCCTCGGTCACCTGAAGACCAAGCGCCTGAAGATCGCTGAGCTGCAGGAGGAGCTGCGACGCTCCCAGAGCAGAGCACAGCAGACACAGATAGAGCAGGCCGAGAGGATCGCACGAGACTCTGAGGTCTGACCTACAGCAGATCAAACCTGTGTGCTCAGTCTGCTGTGGTGGATGCTAGACTTACACGTTCTGCGTTTAATACAGGTGAGGGAGAGCAGCTTGGAGAAACACCTGGAAACCCCTCACAAAGACCTCATCAGACTGCAGGAGGAGCGGGCCGCCCTGCAGGAGAGAGTGGAGGTCAGAATACCTTTGGGTCCCGTTGTATCTTCACAAAGTTAGACGACACTTCTGTCTGGATCAGTGTTATTGTTAACTAAAATCCTTAAAATCATTTTTGATAACTGAAATAATTTACTGGATATAATAGATGTTATTATAGATAACCTTATATAGAAACTATTAAAGGTTTAATACAGAAACTGAAATAAAGGTAAATGTAATGTTTGGTATAAATGTATGTAAAAATAAATGTCTAGAGAGAAAAATCTCTAAATATTTAGATCAAATAAATTGAAGTTAAATAGAAATATTTTTTGAAAAAATATGTATTAAATATATAAAAAAAATGTAGGAATAAATCTCTAAACATGTAGATAAAATGTTTAAAATAATCAAAGACGTTCACCTTGATATAAAGAAAAAAATCACGAAACAAACTAATTGAAAATATAAATATTCAACAAATTAGAATGGTGATAATATAAATGTATAAATATATTTAGGCCTTTTGTCATTTATTGATACAGACATGAAATGATGGGGTGAAAAGTGTTGTTTTCATTAAATAAAACTATTAAAATAAACATAAATGAAAATTAGAAATGTTGCCTTGGAGTTTGTTGAAGTACTGACATTATTAAAACTGAAATTTAAAAAGAAATTAAAGCTGAACAAAAAAAAAAATTAATGACGAAAGCTCATGACTAAAACTTAAACTAAAATCTAATTCTAAATATTAATAAGGACTATACTAGTTTAAAAATAATACTACAATAACACTGGTCTTGATCTAATTGTTCTAAAAGAAGTCATTATTTAATTAGCTAGTTGTTGGACGACTATCCGCCCATCCTGACCCGTCTCTATTGTGAACTGCAGGCTCTGGAGAAGAGGAATCAGGATCTGAAGCAGAGTGAAGAGAAGGTGAAGGCCGCCAACTCTGAGCTCTGCACCAAGATGAGAGAGATGATCCAGGAGCTGGACCAGGAGAAACAGGAAGCAGAAGAGAGGTCACATATTCATTCATTTAGCTAAGAAGGGTCAGGCCTTAATCAAGTGAGAGTTAATTTGACGTCTGTGGAGCTTCATCTCTGAAGTGCTTTGTGCGTGCAGATACGAGCGGACTCAGCAGCAGTACAGGGATGATGTGGTGCATCGTGTCCGTGAGGAGCTCATGCAAGAGCACACGGCTCACATCGAGCAGCTCGCCAGCCAGCATCTGCAGCACATCCAACAGCTCCAGTACTTCCACCAGTCTATTACGTCATACTGGATTACAATACGTCATTTATAAAGCATGCAGAAGCACAACTGCTGACTTTCATTAACCCCGGGTCCTTCCACAGGTCAAAGCTGACTGATCTCAGTCAGGAGGTGTTAGCTGTGCAGGAATGCTACATATCTGTTTGCAAAGAGAAGGACAAGCTGGAGGAAAATCTCCAAAACAAGCTTGAAGAAGAGAAGAGATTGAAAGAAATTGAGGCAAGCACTGGATTAGGTTATTTATCTATACAAGTTTAATTAATTTATTTACTTTTGTTGAATTATTTATTTATTTATTTTTTTAAGTTAAATGTATTCATTTGTTTAATTTAATTTACATTTGTTTGTTTATTTTATTTATTAATTTGTTATTGATTTATAAAATAATTTCATTCTTTATTTGTTTATTTATTTATTTAATTACATTTTAATTGTTTATTTAAATAATTATATAATAATTCTTTATTTTTGTGATTTGATTTAATTCATTATTTATTTTATTTATATAATTAATTTACTATTTATTTTTTTAATTTATTAATATATATATATATATATATATATATTAAGATTGTCCATTTCTGTCTAACTGGGTAGACCAGACTCTCGTCTGGCTGTGTGAGACGTTAATATTTGATCATGTTTGCTGGTGTTGCAGTTAAAGAGGCGAGAGGAGAGTGCGGGTGCTCTGGAGTCACTGAGGTCTGAGCTGGAGTGTCAGCATCGGGAGGACGTGTCTCGGCTCAAAGCCCAGTGGAGGACACACACACAGGCTGAGATTGAGCTGCAGGTCAGAGAGCAGCTGGAAGCCCTCAGGAAGAGCTGGCTGCAGGAGCAGGAGACGGTTAGTGATGATGGGCTGTTTACGCCACTGTTCTTTCTGCTCTGTGCCAAGCCAGCATGGTCTTACTAAATACCACTGTTGTGCCATTCAGATGGAGGTCAAATGCTCTTATATGGTCTCTGTTTGTCTACTTTGCTTTGTCTCTTGTCTTTTATTTCATCTGGCTGTATGTGTTTCATCTGTCTCTTTGTTTGTTTGTATTTTTGTTCTTGTCTGTATGTCTTTCTGTCTGTCTTTGTGTTAGTTGGAGAAGTCCTGGGCTCAGAGGTTACAGGAAGCTGAGGAAGAGGTCCGGAAGGCCGGGCAGTCAGACACCCGTGAGGGAGCGTGTCAGACCGGCTCGTCTGAGTCGGCGGGGCAGCTGATTTCAGCGGAGGACCTGGAGCTCCGGCTCAGAGCTCAGAGAGAGAGCCTGCAGCAGGAGGCCTCGTCCGCCCAGGCCAGAGCCGTGGAGGAAGCAGTACGACACGCTGAGAGAGAGCTGCAGCAGAAGCACACTGATGACATAGCGCTCCAGGTGTGACGGATTTACTGCTCTTAACATTAAATACCACCATTTACATAGGGCTGGGCGATGTGGCCAAAAAAAGGATCACAATAGAACGTTTCATATCAAACTATATCGATAATTATCAAGATAAATGTCAAACCTTTATTTCATTCAAGTTTAAAGGCAGATTTTTCCTCCTGTGTGAAAGTTGTAGAAACCAGACCGTAATTGTGATTTTAAACTACTCTTTATTGTACATGACAATCTCTTGCCAAACAGGTGAACATTTCACAAATCTGTGGTAGATTATTCCAAATATTTTTTAATTCTTTACACTTTTTTCAGTCTTTTTTCCTTAATAAAATAAATATCTTAATAGAAAAATGTATTTCTTAGTTTCTGCATGTTCTAACAGGTGATATTGTTTCAAGTCATGAAACAGGTGCAGCCTGCAATATTAATAATATTACATGTTTTGTCTCTTAGAAATGCACATTTGATAGTAGCTTGAGTTGACAGTTGCAGTAACTTGAGTCGGGATGATTTATGTTCATTAACAAAGACAGTAACATCTGGAAAAGTTGAAACAACCTAATTTTTATAGGGTAAAATTTAAATATTGTAACTTTGAGTTTTATTAGAATTAACCATTGGTCTTCCATAGTATCGTACATTTCGATCATGATAACCACAGGTCAAACCAGGCATATAGCACCTCAGTATCATGGTAAAATGTAACTATATGGTTTCTATGGTATTTGTATGCCTTTTGGCGCATAAACATTATCAAACCTTTATAATTTTATAGAGGAAAATTATATTGTGATAATTATCATTATCGTTTTATCACCCAGCCTTACATTTACATAAAACGATAATGAAAATTATCACAATATAACTTATGTAAATGTAAGGCTGGGTGATAAAACGATAATGATATTTACCACAATATAATTTATCACCCAGCCTTACATTTACATATATTATATTTAAAAAATGGACTAGTTCTTCATGACCCTTGCCTACAGATTATAAAGCCCACTGTATCATATTTGATACAAAAATGTCTAGGGCCTCTAAATTATCAACATGATCAAAACTTTGCGGAGTAACTCTTGTACACGGTCCTCTACATGCCTTCTGTCGTCTGATTGATGGTTTATAATTTTTAACAAGTAAATGGCCTTTTATTATAATTGTACAAATGTCCTCCTTCAGGTTGTGGTACACCAGTCTTTACTGATTTTTATAAAGTAAACATAATAACTTTTATATTGTTTGTAATATTTCAAGATGAACACTTACTGGACTGAAGCAACTTAGGTTTACTTGATTATCCATGCATATATATATATTATCCATGCATATATATAAATCATGTTAAAATGTGAGTATCAAATATAAACATCAGGCTTTTGAGGAACTTTTATTTGTCCATCATTGTTTTGCATTGCTTTATATGTTTTTGCCCCCACAATAAAAACTACTGAGCTTTGATCATAAAACTAAGCATTTAATTATCATCTTACTAAGACATATGCATTTTATGTAAGTTATATGTTATTTTGTTATAAAGATCTCATTGATTTACATTACAAGCTATCAGAATTTCATCTTTGCCATATAAATATCAGCATCTGCACCAAAGTGCATGTTTTTGCTCCGTTTGGGCCTCTGAATTAAATCGAGGTGTTTTTCCTCCTCGAGTATGAGCTCCTTATTCTCACTGTAACATACAAGCCATAAAAGTTTGATGTTTTAAAAACACATGTAAGCTTTCGTTTAGATTTTATCTAATGGTTCAATAAACTGTTTCCTATTTCTATGTCAGGCTTTACAGGGTTAAAAATCATCTCTGCCATTTCTTAGGTTGAAGGTGCGATATCAAGGGCTCGTTCTCGATGGCTCCAGGACTTGACATCCCTCCCAGAATACAAAAGCAGCTTGCAGACGGAGAAGGATGAATGGGAGCGACTACAACAGCAGCATGTCCAGGAACAGGTATTTGTTGTATTGGCCATTCTAAAATAATTTCTTCATATTTAATTTCAGAGTTGCTCAACACTCTCCTCCTAACCCCAGGTGTCTTCAGCTGTCAAGGCAGTGGAGGAAAGGTGGCAGGACACGCTCCGCACCAGATGCACCGAGCTGGAGCAGTGTAACCGGAGAAACGGGGAGCTCCAGGAGGAAGTGCTTACCCTCTGCACCCGACTGGAGCGCTCATGCCAGGAGCAGGCCGCCCTCATCAAAGCAGAGCTGGCTGCAGCCCGAGACGTTTGGATGGAGGACAAGCAGGAGGAGATGTCCCGCCTCAGGGCGCAGCTCCAGAGAGAGCAGAACCTGGAGCAAACTGACACAGAGCTACAGAAAACCCTCAGGGAAAAGGAGCAGGAGTGGAGGGCTCAACAAGAGATCAGGTTCATAATAATCTTCATAATTACGAGGGTTTGCTTATATATATATATATATATTTATGTGTGTGTGTGTGTGTATTTCAGTTTATATATTATTTATTTACTGTTGGTATAGTATGTGTTGGTAGTATTCATATTTTCAGGTTTCATAAAAATTTTAGTGTAAGTTTTAATCATTTTGTTTTTTGTTAGTTTATTTTTTATATTTCTATTTAGTTTTAATTTAGCTTCTATTTATGTATTTTTTTGTCCATTTTATTTGTATGTCAGTTTCAGTTGAAGTACTTAACTTATTTCAACATTTCTAAACTATTTTTTTTTTAGTTTTTCATTTAATATTTAAATGTTATTTTATTTCAACTTTGTTTCATTTACGCATATAAATAATACAAAGATTAAATATTTGATGTCATATTTTAATCAAATTCTATGTTCATTTATTTATTAAATATTGCTGTTCAATGATATGAAAATACTTTTTTAGATGCTTCATTTTGAAATAGATGTATATAACATTTGTAATTCAGCAATATTTTGTTTTTTAATTTACATATTTTGTAAATTTATGTAAATACATTTTTATTTCTATAGTAACTAATTGATAGTGGTGTAAACGAATGTAAACAGAGGACTGTTGTTTTGCAGACTGCAGGAGGAGAGGCAGCGGGTGCTGGAGGATCTGAAGGAGGTGCTGCAGGAGGGAGTGAAGAGGAGAGCCAGTCCAGATGAACACGAGCTCAGCAGTGTGCCAGGAACCGTTCGGTCCAGAGTCTGGGAGATCTGCAGAGAATCACTCACTCAAGCCATCAACCAAGCCAAGCAGGAGTGGAAGAAGGTGCATACATCTCATTACACTGTTTTGAAATGCTGCGTCACTGTAATGAACACGGCCACACCCACAGAGTTCCCTGTTCTTTATTATACGTACTATATTATACGTATTATAATCATATTTATGCCGTCTCTAGATCATCGGTCTCCACCCAGAGAAACACATTAAATACTTTGTTTCTCTCACACTTTAGAGCAGCGAAGACAAGCTGAGACGTGTGCTGAAGGAAAAGCGTGAGCGTCACGAGGCAGAGATCGGTAAGGCTCTCTGCACACACACCTCACACACTGCTGGAATCAGTACCTCTTCCCTCCTCACCGGTTCCTCGCCCTGCAGCAGGTCTAACGGCCCAGAGGAAGCAGGGGGAATGCACTGAGCCTCTGGCCAAACTCCAGAAGAAGAATCAAGAGCTCCAGAGACATCTAGAAAAGGCCTGCCGCCAGCTCCAGAAGACCGTTCGAGAGCACAAGAGCACCCTGCAGAAGATGAAAGGTGCTGCTCAGTGTGAGATTCCCAATGCTAGAAACTATGGGGACACATGCCTCTCACTAAACATTTTAAGATATCAGTAAATGAATTGGGTTAAGTCAATTAATCAAGTATTATTCGTTATAAATTATAATGTAAAATAATTATGAAAAATAAGTTAGCAATTATAAAGCCATAAATCAATGAAACGGTCAAGTTATAAAGTGTCTAAAATCACACATTTTTGTGCTTGGGTTCCTACAGTCATGGAAACCGTGAAAAGTAAAACAATTCAAAGAAAACCGTATTGTTTAAATGTGTGGGAACCGTGTGCCCCGAATTCATTCTCGTGGGAAAAAATGGTTTGCGAAATGTCTTTTTGCCGTCATTTACATTTAATCACTTGGCAGACGATTTTATTCAAAGCGACTAACAAATAGAAGCAGTCAAAGCAACTAAAGGGCAACAATATGTGCTGTGGCAAGTCCCAGTTAGTCTTAGCAAAGACTTTAGATTTACAAAGACGGTTCACTCCTATTACTTATGAATGGGAGAAACTGCCATATGAAGGGTTGTCACTTAAGTTTAAGTTTAATTTGTCATCTAATATTCATGTTTTATTTTATTTCAGTTAACAAAATGATTTTTAGTTAAAGAAAATGACACTGATCTTTTCTCCCCATCATTTCCTGTTTTCTCTGTACTGTCTGTATCATCAGTAAATGGAAAAGGGACAAAAAAAACCTACAGTTCATTTTCATGTTTAGAGGCTTTTTTCTAAATATTTATTTTTATTATTATTATTGATTTTAATTTCTCAGCTAATTTATTTGATTACCAAATGTATTTGAACCCCTGATTTTGTCTAGGGTTGGAAGGGGTAACATTTAGTTTGTGATAATTGTAATGGCATGTGGGGATGGCAAGAGACACGTAAGCATAAATAATGCCAAAATAATTGATTTTTTTTATACACAGGTGAAAAGTATACAAGAGATGAGACATAATAATGATAAATAAATGATAGATAAATACACAAAGAGAAAACTACATTTACAAAAACTAATCAATACAAAAATAAACCCAAGGGAAAAGGGACTTGAGCGACGCCAGAGGAAAGAAAAGAACAAAACAAAACCCAAGACTAACTTCTAACCTAGTGTGTCTAATACATCAAAACTTCAAGTGTTAGACAATGTATGTCATGTGACGTCTTACTTGTTCACTTTCTCCGGTATATGGAGAAATAATCACCATCAGAATGACTACGAAAGTAACAAAGTTTGGATGAGGTGCAAGATGACAAGACAAAATGGTACAAGTAAACACTGTCATAATAATAACAAGCACTAGCAAAGGTTAAATTGACCTTCTTTGCATTCGCTGTTGCTCGTTTAGAGTCAAAGACGACTAGCATGCGTTCATTCTGGCGTGCTATTTAAACTTGATTGACAGCAGGAGCAGTGATGTCACGCAGGTTAATGATGATTGACAGCTGCTCAGGCCAATAGCAGTCAATAGGGGTGAGCCTAAGAGAATGACAGGGAGCGAAGGAGGAAAATATTCAGGCACACCCACAGGGACGTAACATTATTATTGATTGGCACAAATGGACCCTCATAAGAAGTAAATGGCATGTGGGAGAAGACTTTTTATTTATCTATCGTTTTTCATGTCAAATCAGATGAACATAAGGCAGCCCTGCAGAAGGAGCAGCAAGCCCTTGAGGAACTGAAACAAACCTCAAATGCAGAAGCACATTCAAGGTTTGTAAACACTTCAAGTTTGTTTGTTTTCTTTCATAAGAGCACATCGACTACAAGAGCAGCGGGTCTTAGACTAACAGTCTTCATCAATGTTTCAGCTGTTCAATCAGCCAGCAGAATCTTCAAGCAGGACTTGAGGAAATGAAGGAGCAATACATGAAAGCAGTGGAGAAAATCAAAGGTGAGTGCAAGGCCTCTATATAGATGTTTTACAGAACTAATCACATTTTATTCCTCTTAAAAAAAAAAACATGTTCTTCAATAAGACCAGTGTTGGGAAATAACTACAATTTTACTACAAGTACTGTTGCAACGCAACTAAATCATTTTTTTAATGGTCTAGATTTTACAGTAATAGATATGTTTACATAAATTATTTATTTAATAAAGTTATTTTTACACGCTTGAGTAGTTTGAATGTAGTTACCTACACCCTACCAAACTTGTAGAGTAGCTAACTACTTAAAGGGCTTGTCTGCAGTTTAACTACTTTGAAACTGAAGCTAACGGTTAATAAAGTTGCTCCCTCAACTCTGATTTTATTTCATACTTTTTTTGGTGTGTTTGTAGGCGACATGCTGCGTTACCTGCAGGAGAGTAAAGAGCGGGCGGCAGAGCTGATCAGGACTGAGGTCCTGAGGGAAAGGCAGGACACGGCCCGACGGATGCGCAGGTACTACCTCACCTGCCTGCAGGAGCTGCTGGACGACGGAGGCCAGGCCGCGGGGTATGGAGACGCACAGATGATCTCCTCTCTCTTACTCTTACTCTCCTCTTCATTCTGCTCTTTTTCTTTCTCCAGAGCAGAGAAGAAAATCATAAATGCTGCTAGCAAACTGGCCGCCATGGCCAAAGTCCTCGAGACCCCGGTGTCCAAACGCAAGCTTTCAAGAACACAGAACTCTCAAGGTATGCTTTCAACTCTGTAAAAGGTGATGTGTGTAGCATCTGTGACACTAGTGTCATCTAGCGGAATTACAAAAATAAAGCATATCACAAATACAGCTCTTAACAGGCCAGTGTAGGCTGCATTCAATAAAAGGCCCAACATATGAGGAATACTTTTAGCTGTGTTGCTATGTGTCATGAGTAAGCAACTGAGTAGGCTAAACACTGTCTAGAACGAACACGAGCGTCTTGCTTAGGCAAGGCAAGGCAAGGCAAGTTTATTTATATAGCACATTTCATACACAATGGTAATTCAAAGTGCTTTACATAGAAGAAATTAAAATAATCAAAACAAATAAGAATAATTAAAACAGTTTAGAATAAAAAATAAAATACAGTAAAAACAGTCGGACGAACAGTGGCACAGTGCTCATTCAGTAAATGCATAGCTAAACAGATGTGTTTTGAGTCTGGATTTGAAAGTGACTACTGTAGGAGCACATCTGATCTGCTCTGGAAGCTGGTTCCAGCTGCGGCTGGCATAATAGCTAAAAGCAGACTCTCCTTGCTTAGAGTGAACCCTTGGTATTTCTAGCTGATGTGATCCTAATGATCTGAGTGATCTGTTAGGTTTATATTCAGTGAGCATATCTGCAATATATTGAGGTCCTAGCCCATTAAAAGATGTATATACCAGTAATAATACTTTAAAGTCAATCCTAAATGTAACTGGGAGCCAGTGTAGAGACCTGAGGACTGGTGTGATGTGTTCATATTTTCTGGTTCTGCTCAGGATTCTGGCAGCAGCGTTCTGTATGAGCTGCAACTGTCTTATGGTCTTTTTAGGAAGGCCAGTGAGGAGTCCATTACAATAATCCACCCTGCTGGTGATAAAAGCATGCACAAGTTTCTCTAAGTCTTGATTGGAAACAAAGCATCTAATCCTTGCAATATTTTTCAGATGATAGTAAGCTGATTTAGTTATTGCTTTGACATGACTACTGAAACTAAGATCTGACTCTAGAGACACACCAAGATTCCTGACTTGATTTTTAGTTGTTAGACCCCTAGCGTCAAGGTATGCATTCACCTTGAGAACTTCATCTTTGTTTCCAAACGCAATGACTTCAGTTTTGTCTTTGTTTAACTGAAGAAAGTTTTGGCACATCCAACTGTTGACTTCATCAATGCATTGGCACAGGGAGTCAATGGGGCTGTAATCGTTAGGCGATAGGGCTAAGTAGAGCTGTGTGTCGTCTGCATAGCTGTGGTAAGAGATTCGGTTCTTTCTCATTATTTGGCTCATTGGGAGCATATATAGGTTGAACAGGAGTGGTGCAAGAATTAATACCTTGAGGGACTCCGCATGTCATGGACGTCCACTCAGACTTATGGTCTCCTATACTCACATAATAACCTCTCCCTTCTAAGTATGACCTGAACCATTTTAGGACTATCCCAGAAAGCCCCACCCAGTAATAATAAACCTTTGTCATTTGAACATTTGTCTTTCTGAACGGGTGCATTACAATGCCATATTGAAACATCCATTGTAGCACGTTGCGTCACAATGCCCTGTTCGCTTCGACGTGTTCATGGCCTGCGTTATCTTTGAAGGTCTAAATGCTGTGAATTTTGATACCAGAAGTTGAATGTCTTTTCCCATGTAACGTGTCAGTCAGCTAAACACCTACAGTAGCCACGCCCCAAACTCTCCCTATACAGCGTATGCATTGAAGTCACTTTCCCGCCAGAACACGCCCCCTCAGCCGGACTGAGTGGCAAAAGAGCTGCTGCTTGACTGGATCTAATAGGGGAAACTGTGTAAACGCGAGTAAAACAAACGATTATCAGTTTAAACTAAAGGTTGGACTCGATATAGTGTTCCTTACAACTTACCAAAGATCCAGCGATCCATGGAAATAGCAATCATGTTTCCTGACATTTATATGTGCCTGATTTCGACGCCGGGGAAATAAAGTAAATTTGCCTATGAAATCTTTATATAAATACAATAAAAACAGGTGATCACTTATATCATACATCATATATTTACTTATAAAGTAAATTTGCCTATGAAATCTGTATAAATGCAATAAAAACGGGTGATCACTTATATCAATGTTATATATGTTTTCATATTAGGGGTGGAACGGTACATGTATTCGTATTGAACCGAAACGGTACGGGCGTCACGGTTCGGTGCACGAATTTACACGGAGAAATAAAACTCGCGTGCAAATTAATTACTGTAATGCGGAACTACTGTTAGATACGCGGGTTCTTTAGGGACACATAATCTGTAGCATCGGCTTAGCTCTGAACGCGCGTTCACTTCAAACGTTGGCTTTATACGCGCGTCCTATTCGCTTTTGGACTAGCGTCGAACAAGACGCGATAGACGCGAATTTGACGCTCTATTCGCGTTTGGTGTGAGTCGTGACCGCATAATGAACAGGCATGCAATGCTGGAATGTGTGTGCGCGCGCGCGAGAGAGAGAGGCGCAACAGTGGAAACATAAAAAACATACTCCGTAATTTTGTTCATACAGATCATTAAACCTGCAAAGTGTTTACTTATATTTGTGTACACTCGCAATAAAACACAACATTGTGCTTTTGACACACTGTAAACTCTTGTCAAACTGTAACCTACAACTGTCACCCAACCAAAATCACACACACACTGTTTTAAAAGCAAAACATATTTATCCAACTCCATTTCAAAACAGTCTGTGTGTTCCATCTTTTGGACATTCATCATATTGCATTGGTTTTCATTTCTCGTCCTCGGAGCAATAATCTTACACATTCTACATTGATTAAAAAAGAAAATCGAATGTGTTTTTAATGGTAGGCTAGTATTATTTTATACAGAAATCAATTATTTATAATTCAGATGAGAATAATGTTACATTGTTAATTAATAATGTTAATTAATATTAAGGAAAACAAATATATTGATCTGAAATATAGCAAAATAATTTTAAATTAATTCAGGTACAATTACCAAACATATCGCAAGGTCTTTTTGTCTTTTTATTAATTTAATTAATAAACTAATTATATTAAACTATTGTCAGTGCACTACAAATAAACTGGTTCTATGCCTTTATTAATAAAACTTATTTAAAAAATACAATGCCTTCTGCATTTTTGTTTTGCTTTTCCCTCCATTGTACCGAAATCGTACCGAACCGAGGTATGAACCGAACCGTGACTTCTGTGTACCGTTCCACCCCTAATTCATATCGTCCAGCCCTAAAACTTGTATAGTTTTTTTTGTCAGTGTTTATTTAAAAAGGTCCAATTATACAGAATATAGGATGGTAAATATTTAATTGATGAGTTGTCAATACAATATATAAAATTCAGCATATTGACACAAAATGATAAACTGCAAATCCACCTTTCGCTGCCTGGAGTTGAGTGGTTTCTATGAATTGCAGCGACCCATTTGCTTCTGTAGCTTTCGGCAGTCAGTAAAAATATACCTCAGATTTCTTGTTAAATCTAGTTGTACAGTCAGTCGCAAAGCTCTTTCTCGTTTTAGATTCACGCTGAAAACAAATGCTGCCGCTCAGTCTTTGTGCCACTCAGTGGGCGTAACCGCAGTCACTCCGGCCGACGGTGACGACACACACGTACCCTCTATAGGTTGAAAGAGACTGACAGATCTGAGCGGACCGCTCTCAATGATTTGTTGTTGCCTGGGAGGCTTAATTATTACACTATACCATTACAGTATACCATTCACAGTGGAGATAAACCTGTGATAAACCGGTGAATGGTATATTAGTAGTCAATGAATAACAAACTGGTTTAAGAGAATGTATTTTAACCAAAAAATCTTACCCAAGTCTTCATTATTAGCATGATATGGCACTTTTACCGTACATTTATACCGTGAAAATTGACTTTTTTTGCTTAGGTGGATCAGACAAGACAGACATTGGCTCTCCTGCTAAAGTGCTGGGTGCTGCGTTACACGGAGCTGAAGCCCACAAGGATGGTAAGGACAATCGGATCCATCAGATCTACTGCCTAACGGACACAAATTATACATCCATGACGGCTAAACAGACCGGTATCAAACCTAAAGGCTTTGAACCAGATTCCCTGAAGTCTGCAGTGACCTGTGGATCTAAAGACCCTCTTACGCTTGGTCAGGTAACTCAGAAACACACACACTTTCATGATAGTGTTTTTAACAGCTATGTCAGGACCCCTAATATCACACTGAGAAAGCAGAGCAGGGAAATGCTCATGGAGGGCTTTGAGTCCGGAAGAGCAGAACCATCAGCCTGTCAATCATTCCTGATTGAAGAAGCGCCTGTTCGGGATGATGGACAGAGTGACTGGAGTTTAACCAGTCACGGCTCCAACTTTATGAACAACATTCACCTGACGTCCTCCTATCCTGAGCCTGGGAAGCCTTTCTCATTGAACGGCCCGTCCTTGGCTGGTTTGGACTTTGGAAGCTCCATCGGTGATAACTCTCATGTTACGATATACAAAGAGATTGTTCAACCTCCGTCTTACTCTAAACCCAGCGTGTGTGTGGACAGAAGAACAAATAAACACAGAGAGCCAATCCCTGGATCTGAGGGACATGGTGTCTGGAAAATGCGTCCGAAGAGCTTATTTTCAGAGTTGAAAGTGCGTCAGCAGGACAGTGGGTTCGACAGCCCGTTGGCACTGCTTCAGGAATGAAATTCCGATTTGTTTTGTGCCTGTGCAAATATTCTTTGTATATAAAAGAGTTGCAGTGTCTGTTAGCCTTGTGCAATGTGTGTTTTTTTACTTGTTTGAGCCAAATGTCTTTTGTACTCGTCTTAGCAGTTGTACTGTCAGTGCTTGAATGTGTTACCTTTTAACTTAATAAAACAACATAGTTTTACATTAACTAAACCGTTTCTTTTCGTTCTTCTTTCACACTGAATGAGCAAACCATCATACAACACAAGGCACAGAGTGATTTTATATTCTTGACACCGGACTGCAGTTTATCTTTAAGGATGTTTTATTTCCTCAGGCTGCGTCTGTACCTTCAAAGTCCAGTGCCAGATAAGATGAAATTAAGCGCATATTGTTAAACGTCATCTGGGTTGTTCTATGAAACGGTTAGTTAGCCTTTTTTGCTCGGATGAGGTCATTATTTTTTGTTAGATTTTAAATATTAGACAATTATACACTCTGACGTATACACTATTCTATAACTCATATTAAATATCAGGCAAATAATGTTTTTAAGTGTTAATAAATTGTATTCATTATTATGAACTCTAAATACATTTTATATGACTGAGATAAAGGTAACAGGGTTGACGGGTTACAGTGAACAGATTTGGATCATTTTAATGCTAATATTTATATAATAGCCCCTTTTTATCATGGGGTTGAAATTTTGAAGGGAAATCAGGCAATTCAGTCATATTTAATTCATACTCATTTCATTCTAAACCTGTGACTTTTGTTTTGTGGAACAAGAGGCACACACACAGAACAAAAAAACGAAATGTTTGTGTGTGTGTGTGAGAGAGAAGGTTACAGTTTATTTTAAGGTGCAGTAAGTCACGTGTAGCAATGACTTAGTGCTGTAACATAGTGCTACCAATTATTTCTTTAAGAATCATCACATCATGAAAAAAAGACAACTTTAACTTTTCTTTAACTTGAAAAAATAAATTTATGAAAATATAATTTATAGAAAAGTTCATTACTTTAAATGAGGAAAAATGTGGTTGTAACAAGGACACAATAAAAAATTGAATCTTTAAATTATTCACAATTATCTACAATATACACTGATATAAGCACCATATAATATCTGGCAAATAATATAATTAAGTGTTAATGATTTGCATATAAACATGATATCTCAAACTAAAACATTTTATATACAGGTTCCTGGTAACAGTTTTCTTTGGCATGTTATGAAACTGCTTCTCGGAGAATTGTTATACTAATATTTCGACAATTACCCACTTTTCAGTTATCAGTTATTATATAATATTATACAGTATCATGGTAAGAGGGTTGACATTTTAAAGGGAAAATTGACAATTAAGTCATAATTTATTTACTATATTCTTCCAGCATGTTAATATTGACAGGCTGTAATATTCCTAAAATAGAAAAATAATGTAATGTAAAATAGTCTAGCAGGATTGGAACAACTTGAGGAAAACAGGTTAGCTTGTAGAAAACAAAAGTTAACAAACAAAAGTTAGCTTGTCTTTAAAGGGTAGATTTGTTTAAAAAAAATAGTTTTAATGAAAAAGAATAAAGTTGATAGAATTGTTAACTGTTACTTTAAAAGAGGAATAATTGGGTTACAGTATTGTATACTCGTTTACAGTGTTGAGGTCTTCGCTAATGTCGCGTGGAGTCGTGACTCGTGAACCATTAAACTCTGTTGCTTTTTATCAATACGACTCGCTTCATTTCATAACTTGTTCATTCCCTCAAAACAAAGCACCGCCTACACTGAACTGTATATCTAAGTGCTGCGCTCCAGAAAGTAGGTCTTACGGAAAATAACCGAATCACTGTACAATGTTTTGGTTTTTTGTAAGTGCTGTTTTACTTTTATTTGCATTAAAATTCCGTTATCCTTACTTTATCAAAGAGGCAAAGTACATCTATCGAGTAGCATTGGTTGTATATCGTATGACAAAATACATCAAATCCAAACCTTTCTATTCCTTGGTGGATCGATTCTTGGACTCGGTTCGGAAGAGCCCACACAAAGCGTTCATTCGGTTTCAGGATCAAACATACTCGTATGTACAGTCGGATAAACAGAGTAATAAAATCGCGAGGAGTTTGTTAAAACACGCAGATCTTCATGAAGGAGATACAGTTGCGCTTCTGTTGGGAAACGAGCCCATGTTCTTGTGGATATGCTTGGCTTTGGCCAAGATCGGATGTTCTGCTGCTCTTCTCAATCATAACATCCGATCCAAATCACTGGTGCACTGTTTCACCTGCTGTGAGGCCAGGGTGCTGATCGCTGGGGCAGGTACACTACAAAGTTTTATTTGTCAAATAAATCAGTGCTTGATGTACTAACTGTAATTTACAAGCTGTTACAAAAAGAAAAGCTGTTGACTCAGTGTACAGTATGTGCTATCCGAGATGTCCTTTTTGTGTCTGTCTCTGTTGGCGACTTATTAACATGAATGGAAGTGTCAAACTATTTTGTGATACAAAATATCTTAACCAAAAAAAAACATTTCTGTATTTTCTCACTTATTGTGATGCACACTGAGTTGCATTTTTAACAGTAATTTTAAACTTGTGGTCAACACTTAGTTCTCAAATATGATTGGGTGAGTGAGATATATACAGTCCAGCAACACTGTGTGTTGTGTCACAAATGATGCACTATACACTAAGAACGTATAATATGCACTATGTATGTAGGCCTACTCAATCGTGTAGTATATAATGTTTATAAGTTTTTTTATTTTATTTTTTTATTCAGCACTGTAGTCGGATAGCCCCTCCGCTACATAATAGGAAAGCTGCGACATTTGAATCCATGGTTGCATCCGAAATTGCATACTCTCTTGTGTGGGTATTTATTTTGAATAAGTACTTATTAAAAAAAGTATGATTTATATCGTATTTTTGTAATCTGGACATACTACATTAACCATGTTGTCATATCACGTGACCTACCAACAGTTGCGTTCCTTCACCTTCATTCACAAATCCTCTCCCGTTGCCTCATGGGACAGTAAAGTGTCCATCGTATACACACTCAGAATCTCACCAGAAGTAGTATCCACTCCGGGTACTTTTTGCCTACACTTTTATGAGTAGCTACTGTGAATTCTGACATAGGCCTACTATTTTTGTCATATACTGTTTTTCGCCTACTATATAGTAAGGAAGTATGTGATTTCGGACGCAGCCAATGAAGTGTCCAACATTCCACACTGTTTTTTGGTTAATTCAGTGCATCATCTATGTATTTCTTAAACTTTTTCTTTTTGGAGGTTTCATTGTGAACACACTACTCACTGTTTATACTACAAAAGCATAGTGCGCAAGTTCACAAATTGGGACGTAGGGGAGAGCGGGGCACAACACCTTTTGACTTTCTCAGTTTGTGTAAATCTACTTAGGGTTTAGAGTGTTTATTTTTCCCCACATTAATTTCCCACATGTCTAGTACAATTTTGTGGTTTTGTTTTATTAATACAGTGTAAAATGCTAATTTTAATTTTACCTTATTTTAATTAGTGATTCCCTTTTTTCTTGATTTACCCCGAAAGAATGGAAGTGAAATGTGACAACATGCCCCATAGGTGGGGTACATTGTAACATGTAAGGGGCACATTGTAACATCACCATATGACAGCTTAATATACAAGTCAAACCAAAACATTTTCTTAATAAAATACAATTATTAACTTTTTTTTATATAAAATAATGCCATTTTTTAATAATTCAAAATAAACTCATTTTTGAGTCTGACAACGAACACACGGGAAAACACCGCTATACAGCATAGTTCAAAACAAAATAATAATGAATAATTTCTGAACATTGACTCTCAGTCTTTATTTACATGTTTCTCATGTATTCTCAATAGAATTCATAAAAGTATAGACTATAATAGCATATTTCTAATAGGGGCACATTGTAACGCAGTGTTACAACATGCCCCAACTGCACAACTGGGGTTTAAACCCTGCTAGTGTTTTCTGCTAGTTAGCGAAGCATTAAAGAACTATATCAACTGTTAAACAACAGATTGGAGATTGAAATAATATCAGATTTGTCTAATTTTAAATAAACACAAAAAAAATGTACTTAAGTAAGAAATGTACTTTTGCTATGGGTAAATAAATGTTCAGTGATATCTTACAAAAATGTCTCTATAAAATGTCTCTATATTTTTTCTCTATATAGTGTTGAAATGGCAACTAGTAAATACACCAAGTTTTGTCATGCTGGCATGTGTGGAAGTATTTAAAACAAGCGTGTTACAACTAGCCCTGCGTTACGTTGTGCCCCGCGCTCCCCTAGGGACTTTTTGTCCTCACACGAAACTCTGAGGTTTGTACCGACTCGTCAATCTTTAGCGACCCCCCTAAAGATTTGAAAAAACACTCATTGAGTAAACTGACTAGATGAATCAAACTGAATATATACTTGTATAAACACTCATGTAGAACTGCAGGATGCTGTTGAGGAGGTGCTTCCCGCGCTGAGAGAGCAGGGCATCTCGGTCTATATACTGACTGACCATGTGACCTCCGAGGGAATGAAAAGTCTTACAGACAAGATCAAGCAGGCCTCAGATGAGCCTGTTCCCGCAGACCTGAGGGCCAGCATGAGCCTCGACAGCCCGGCGGCGTACATCTACACGTCAGGCACCACGGGTGAGACTGGATTCAACCATCTTATTCTGTTTTTGCCCAGTTGAAAGTGTCCGTAATATGACAAATCTGTAATTAATAAATGAGTGCATGTGGATTTAATGAGGCGTATCCCCCGCAGGTCTTCCAAAGGCAGCAGTGATCACTCATCGGAGGCTGTGGGCCATTGCCTTCTTCCAGTCCATTTGTGGTGTGACGTCTGATGATGTGGTGTACGTCTGCCTTCCCTTGTATCACAGCGCTGGCTTTGGCATTGGATTCGGAGGTGCTATTGAAAGAGGTATGAAATCATAATTTTTTGTGTTGGCTATCCAGACACCTCGTCATTGATAAGATAAAAACAAAACAATAGTCTAATGTTTTGTGACAAATGTAACTAGATGTCTTTAGAAATGTTGCTTCTTTTTTATTTGTTTGGTTTTGTGTTTAGGAGCGACTGTTGTCCTGAAGAGCAAATTTTCTTCCTCTCAGTTCTGGGACGACTGCAGAAAATATAATGTTACTGTAATACAGTATATTGGAGAAACCATGCGCTACCTCTGCAATACACCAAAGGTATTGAAGCATTTAAGAACTGCACAGAATCTTCCTCTTTTTCTCATCTACAGGAATGTTGTGCTGGTTGCACATTGATGTATATAGGCTAGTTGTCCTTTGAGCAAGGAGTAAAGCAAGAGGTCAAACTAATCCATTTAATTAGAAAAAGTCAAAAATTAGAAAATATTAGAAAAATACTATTAGAAAATAGTCAAATGGACACCTAAAACATGCACCATGTTAGGAGGAGTAAGCGGTGTCATATCAAATGGTACTCTAGCATTCAAAAAAAGATATACAGGTCCTTCTCAAAAAATGAGCATATTGTGATAAAGTTCATTATTTTCCATAATGTAATGAGAAAAATTAAACTTTTATATATTTTAGATTCATTGCACACCAACTGAAATATTTCAGGTCTTTTATTGTTTTAATACTGATGATTCTGGCATACAGCTCATGAAAACCCAAAATTCCTGTCTCAAAAAATGTGCATATTTCATCCGACCAATAAAAGGAGTGTTTTTAATACAAAAAAAAAAAAACCTCAACCTTCAAATAATTATGTTCAGTTATGCACTCAATAGTCAATACTTGTTCGGGAATCCTTTTGCAGAAATGACTGCTTCAATGCGGCGTGGCATGGAGGCAATCAGCCTGTGGCACTGCTGAGGTGTTATGGAGGCCCAGGATGCTTCGATAGCGGCCTTAAGCTCATCCAGAGTGTTGGGTCATGCGTCTCTCAACTTTCTCTTCACAATATCCCACAGATTCTCTATGGGGTTCAGGTCAGGGGAGCTGGCAGGCCAATTGAGGACAGTAATACCATGGTCAGTAAACCATTTACCAGTGGTTTTGGCACTGTGAGCAGGTGCCAGGTCGTGCTGAAAAATGAAATCTTCATCTCCATAAAGCTTTTCAGCAGATGGAAGCATGAAGTGCTCCAAAATCTCCTGATAGCTAGCTGCATTGACCCTGCCCTTGATAAAACACAGTGCACCAACACCAGCAGCTGACATGGCACCCCAGAACATCACTGACTGTGGGTACTGACACTGGACTTCAGGCATTTTGGCATTTCCTTCTCCCCAGTCTTCCTCCAGACTCTGGCACCTTGATTTCCGAATGACATGCAAAACTGAGCAACAGTCCAGTGCTGTTTCTCTGTAGCCCAGGTCAGGCGCTTCTGCCGCTGTTTCTGGTTCACCTGGGGAATGCGGCACCTGTAGCCCATTTCCTGCACACGCCTGTGCACGGTGGCTCTGAATGTTTCTACTCCAGACTCAGTCCACTGCTTCCGCAGGTCCCCCAAGGTCTGGAATCGGTCCTTCTCCACAATCTTCCTCAGGGTCCGGTCACCTCTTCTCGTTGTGCAGCGTTTTTTGCCACACTTTTTCCTTCCCACAGACTTCCCACTGAGGTGCCTTGATACAGCACTCTGGGAACAGCCTATTTGTTCAGAAATTTCTTTCTGTCTTACCCTCTTGCTTGAGGGTGTCAATGATGGCCTTCTGGACAGCCGTCAGGTCGGCAGTCTTACCCATGATTGCGGTTTTGAGTAATGAAACAGGCTGGGAGTTTTTAAAAAGCCTCAGGAATCTTTTGCAGGTGTTTAGAGTTAATTAGTTGATTCAGATGATTAGGTTAATAGCTCGTTTAGAGACCCTTTTCATGATATGCTAAGTTTTTGAGACAGGAATTTTGGGGTTTCATGAGCTGTATGCCAAAATCATCAGTATTAAAACAATAAAAGACCTGAAATATTTCAGTTGGTGTGCAATGAATCTAAAATATATGAAAGTTTAATTTTTATCATTACATTATGGAAAATAATGAACTTTATCACAATATGCTAATTTTTTGAGAAGGACCTGTGTATATATATATTTTTTTTTTTAAAGAAATTTACTTTTATTCAGCAAAGATGCATTAAATGGATTAATAGTGACTGTAAAGATATTTATAATGTTACAAAAGATTTCTAGTCCAAATAAATGCTGTACTTTTGAACTTTGTATTCATTAAAGAATCCTGAAAAATATTAAGCAGCACAACTGTTTCAAACACTAATAATAACCAGAAATGTTTCTTGAGCAGCAAATCATCATATTAGACTGATTTCTGAAGGATCATGTGACACTGAAGACTGGAGTATTGATGCTGAAAATTCAGCTTTGCCATCACAGGTACACTATATGGACAAAAGGACTAAATACATAGACATTAATATGGAGTTAAACTCCATCAATCTATTGAAAACGTTTTAAAGACACAGCTCTTCAGCTCAATGAAGCTTGAATGAAGCGCCCATAGAATGCAGTTAGTTTCAGGGGTGCAAAACGAATTTGTTCCCACCCTAAACGTAATTGGTTGTAGCGAGAACGTACTACGATTGGTCAGCGCAATGTGGCTGTTATCTGATTGGCTTGAGTTGACGGTGGGTGGAGTCCACCTATTTGTGGATTTGTGTGCACGTCTTGACACTAGAAATGTTTCAAAATGCACACGCGATCCACAAATATACAAGTAGTGATTCACAATTGAATGCTAGGCAGAGTTGTTTGTGTGACAGAAACATATTTGTAAAAAAAAAAAGATTTGCAAATCTCATTTTATTTATTTGTGAATTGAATTCATTAAATGCTAAATACAATGTACTTCCCCTTAGATGTTATGTAAGGATGTAGGATCAGCAGATTCTTACATTTGTAATCCCACACACTAGTAAAGTAAGTGAATTACTTTTAAATTTACTAAAAAAATAATAATATCTGAGCTGCTACTTCAAAGAAGTAATGCAAGTTACTTTGTTTTTCCTTGTATTGCCCTGGTTTCTCTCAACATGGGGACTGACGATCTGTCAAAGTGCAGAGGAGTTGTTTGTGAACATGATGTTATTGCATTTACTCATCTCACTTGCACAAAAACACAATCAGTATTCTTCAAAATGAATAAAAACATTACATTACACAAACCTGCAATAACTAAATGTTATACTTTATGCATTTAATCTCACTTTATTAACCAATGTCTTTGCTGCTGACCTTCAATGATCCAATTCAACAATTTCCTTCAGCCTGAGGTTTATTCAGATTCACTTTTGGTGTGAAAGGGCCTTTAGATTTGCCAAAAATAGAACTTGTTTTTTGTTAAAACAAACAAGCAAGCCCAGCTCAGGCGAGAAAAAGTAACACAGAAGTATTGTAACGCATTACTTTCCATACAAAGTTACTAAGTAACGCAGTTAGTTACTTTTAGAGAGTAACACAATATAGTAATTCATTACTTTTAAAAGTAACTTTCCCCAAAACTGACGGTGGAATATGTAGCAGGGATGTGATTTCATGAACTGACTGCAAACGTGGCGTTATCACAGTTCAGGACGACACCATTTTTCACAAATGTTTGTAAATGCAGATTGCATAGGTGTCAGTAAAGAGGTATGTCCCAATACAGCACTTTTGTCCATACAGTGTATATTAAAATAGAAAAGTTATTTTAGTGTAATAATATTTCACAATATTACTGTTTTTACCCATTTTTTAATCAGAAATTATTTTTCAAAAATCTAACCTATCTTGTGAACAGTAGCGCATGTTGAATTATTATCACATGGAATATGTGAACAATTTACTTCAATTAATAATTTTACGTTTTTATTGCAGTACATTTTCAACATCTTGGTCTTTATAAAAAAATAGCCTACATAAAATGTATTAAGATAATTTGTGGATGCGACAGTTGCAAAAATGGTGACACATCTTACCCCACTTTCTGCTCCACTGTTTGCAGTGCTCTGTATACCAGTCTGTTTCTCATCTTTGTTCTCTTCAAGCGTGTTAGTGACCAAGTACACAACGTTAGAATGGCCATTGGGAATGGGATCAGGCCAGAGGTCTGGAGGACGTTCATCAGCCGATTCGGTCACGTCGACATCAGAGAGTTCTACGGCTCAACCGAAGGAACCTTGGGCTTTTTGAACTTCGCAGGGAAAATTGGGGCTGTCGGTAGAGTGAATTTTTTACATAAGGTAGACTTAACTAGTCAGTAAATGTGCTCTTTACTCTTTTGCTCGCAATTCATCAAATTTCTCATTTCATCTGTATGAAAACATCAATGTTGTTTCAGAAACTGTATCCATATTCATTGGTTAAGTTTGATAAGGAACAAGAGGAACCTGTAAGAAATGCAAATGGATTTTGCATAGAAGTAGCTAAAGGCAAGTAAAAGAGTTTATTTTAATGAACAGTTCTTCTAAAGAAACATGTTTGTATGCATATGAATAATATAAAAATGATTTTAAAAAGTAATAAAGCAAAATTGTTAGCCTTGTATTTGAAAGAATGTTGTCATTGACTGTAATACAGGAGAGACAGGTCTGCTAGTATCACAGATTACCCAGAAGGCCCAGTTCGCTGGATATGCCAGGGATCCGAAACAGACGGAGAAGAAGAAACTCTACGATGTGTTTGAAAAAGGAGACATTTACTTCAACTCTGGAGATCTGTTCAAGATAGATCGTGAAAACTTCATCTACTTCCAGGATCGGGTGGGCGACACCTTCAGGTGAATAAACACTATAGAAAACTTTAAAGTTACACCTGTAATGGGACAATCAAAAGGCAGAATTGAAAATAAATGCATGGTTCTGTTCTCAGGTGGAAAGGGGAGAACGTTTCCACAAATGAAGTGTCGGACATCTTGACTAATGCGACGAGTATCGAGGAAGCAAATGTATACGGCGTTGAAGTTCCAGGTTTAATGCTATTTCCCTTCATGAATCAGAAATCATCCAGTTGACTGTCATAACATTGGTTAATATTTCTTCTCACCTGACACACTTGATCTTTTGTTGAATTTGCAGGGTATGAGGGGAGGATAGGAATGTCTACCATCACATTGAAGAAGGACCATCAGTTTGAGTGTGATGGCATTTTTAGTCATGTGACCACTTACCTCCCCTCGTATGCCAGACCACGCTTCATAAGGATCCAGGTAACATCATAACACAAAGCATGCACAAATAAGCTCTCTTTAGGTAGAATCAGTATTTTTTATGTACCATTTTATATTTCCGAATGCACCAAAATCGAAATAAGCCCATGTGTTTCTGATTGCAGAACAGTTTGGCTGTAACCTGCACCTTCAAACAGCTCAAAGGGAAGTTGGCAGAGGAGGGCTTCAACCCTGCTGCAATCTCAGATCCTCTGTTTGTTTTAGATGAGAAGGTGAACAGCTACAGACCGCTGACACATGACACATATCAGTCGATATTGGAGGGTCACTTCAGATTGTGAAGAGCAGGATTTGCATACATTTATTAAGAGAAATCAAATCTTTTATTGTTTTTGTTCTGAGCCATAAATCTACATTTACACTTACAGGACAGTAACTGTCCAGAATCACAATTAACACACACAAAATGTTGCAATTAAATTGTGGGGGTTTTTTTATGTACCAAAGGCAATTTTAAAAATATATATTTAGCTTATTTTGTATATTTCAAAACTCTTGAAGAAGTTTTCACACATGCTTTCATTTTATATCACCCTATCCTTCAGAAGTTTTCTCTGACAAAACGATAATAAAAGTTTAAAAACTACTTCATTGGCAGTCTGAAAAGTGTCTTTCTAAGAATTTGATACTTTCCCCTGTAGTCTGTAGTGAACAAATAGTTTTGTAAGAGTTTACTGTAAGATGATTGGTTCCCACAGAAACCCTCCCACTCTCTCCTGTCTCAAAGGCTGAATTGGATGAGGGTTGCCATGTTGTGAGGTTAAAATACTCCCGCATGTAATATAATTTTTGTTCATTAGAAGGGAATTTTTTTATAAAAATATCTCTACTTTATACCATGTTTTTTTCCCCAACATTCTTCTATTTTAAATGCAATTATTATTTATTCATACAAAGTTCGATTTATTTGGTTTATTAAGTTTAATATGAATAATTGGAGAATATTTGAACACATTGTAATAAGTTTTTATAATGACCTACTTGATATGTAATTTTTTATTAGCACTGCATGAAAACATCAAAACATGATTTTTTTCTTCTTTTTCTTTCCTTTTTTCAACAAAAACAACAAGATTTCACTACATGTTCTGGGGAGCCAGATAAGCAGGTGTTCTTCGCCATGGGGTCACTAGAGGACCTCAAAATGTCTTTTTCAATATATAAATTATTTCAAACAATTTAAAAAGTACTAAATCTTGTTAAAAATAAATGAAATAATATAATGTGACATTATGTTTGTTACTCTGGAGCAGGGCCGTAACCACCATAGGCATTGAGTCCCCCTTTTAATCCTTTAATTATTTAATTTCTTTAAATAAAAAGACCTAAAAACCTTGGTCCCCTCCAATGTTCAAGGCATGGTTATGGTCTTGCTCTGGGGAAAAAAATCTGGGACTACATATACAACCTTGGCAAACAAAATTAACATTTTAAATTTGTTCACTCGTTGTCAGCAGATCTTGAATGTTTGTTTGGAAAAATCATCTTTTTTTTAATTAAAAATAGATTCTGGCTAAAGAAATGTGTATGTTCACTTTGTACACAAAAATGCTTTCTCTGACTCACAACTTGGTGAAAATGACCATGAATGTCCGCAGCAACTATTTTTTGCACCAGGAAAACGTATGTGGCATGATGCATAAAGAACTAAAATGCTTATTACATATTTTATTTTCAAAACAATTTGTTAAGTTAACTACAAAAAAGTTTAATTGCGATTAATTAGGCATATTTTAATGTAATGACAGACTTAAACTATTTTATTGGTGCGTAAACAACCGCACCGAGTTGAAGAAGGATCTGGCAACCCGACGAGGCTCTTGAGTCGGGGGTGGATCAGAATAATATAATCTCTCTCTGGATCCCCAAAAGGGCTGAACTTGCGTTTAGAGTATGTGGCCCATGAATTTTAAGACTGTGGAAGTAGTGTCAGGCTATGGCATGTAGTTAATCTCAAACCCTTAGTATTGTACAAACTCTAGTAAGCATGTATATGTGGATGACTCTTCTCGCGGGCTTGGCTCTTCTCCCAGCGCTGCTGAAAACTTTCTTCCCGTATTTTTTCCAGGACTGCGTGTATATATACAGAGCGCTTGGATTTGGAATCCGATTAAACGTATACAAAAGGAAAACTCCATTCTATAGTATTGTGGACTGTTTTTTGGAAGCAGTAAAGAAACACCCGCGGAGAGCGTTTATTCATTTCGAGGGGAAGACTTACACTTATGAGGAGGTGGATAAGGAGAGTAACAAAGTGGCGGATGCTTTGCGCTCGGTGGCCGCGCTTAAAGAAGGGGACACGGTCGCGCTCTTCCTGGGGAACGAGCCTCGGTTCGTGTGGACCTGGCTCGGCCTGGCCAAGCTGGGCTGTCCCGCTGCACTCCTGAACTTCAATATCAGATCCAAATCACTCCTTCACTGCTTCTCCTGCTGCGGCGCGAACGTGCTCATAGCAGCTGCTGGTGAGACATATATATGTATATACAGTAGCTCTCTTCAGAGCGCCTATACATGGATGTAGACTATAGTCTATATACAGATCATATACATGGCTAGCCTACTATAGTCGCTTCGAGGCCTTGGCACTGATTCGCAACCATTCTCTTAATGTGTAGCCTACACACTTTTGAAAAGTACTTTGCTTTCTTAAATATATAAAACAGAAATTATGACTAAAAAAATATATACGTACGCATGCATTAAGGTAGGCCACATTGTGAATATAATCACAACTAAAGGGCTCAGACAGTGAATATTACATAGGCTATAGCAGAGTTTCAACTTTCAATTACATTTTTTTTTCTTTTATACAATGTTACTACAAATATTAAGGATGCAATTATTTTGTTATAAAGTATTTTTTATCTAGTTAATTGGTTAACCGGCATTCTTTCTGACACAACAGCGCATTGGTATGGTATGCAACAACACTGCGCAGGGATACGATGAGCTGTGCTGTTGCACGGAGCTTTAGCTGAACAAACTCTGAGTTTCAGATTAGGTTTAGAGTTGACAAATTCAGATATATCCAGCCTGGTTTAGATCAGGTTCAGCGGTCTCGCAAAGCTCGGTATAAACGGTCTCTGTCGAGGGTTTGATTCAGTTTGTGATCACTAACTCTGAAGCGCGTGCACCTGAAAGTGTGACAGGTGCTGCAAACAGCCAATCACGCGGGACTTGGAGAGCGTCGGCTTGATTCACTTCTCTTCTGAACATTGGAAATCATTTTGTGAAGTATAATGAAGTTAAGAGCGTTTACAAGGTAGGAATAAACACTGCTGCTGCAGCGTAAGTTTGAGAAAGCAGCTGAAATAAAATATCAATGCATGATGTGAATCAGAGAAATGGGCCGAATAATTATAGGTTCGCAAAGAGCTCAAATGAATACACGTTGTTTAAAAGCAGTATATATGCATGTATTATATTTATATTAATTTAAAAGCCAAGTTTAATAGTCTATTAGCCTACTTGTCAATTAATAGGCTAGGCTAATTATTGAATGCAAGCTTGTTTCCGCCACCGAATAAAACATTTTAAAAAGATATTTGCGACTTTTTATCTCACAATTGCGAGTTTACATCTCTTACATGGCGGTGAAGTCGCGAGTTTACATCTCGAAATTATGACTGTATTTCTCAGAATTGCAAGATATAAAGTCGCAATTGCGTTATAAAGTCAGAATTGCGTGATATAGTTGCAATTGTGTGTAACAAAGTCAGAATAGTGAGATATAAACTCACAATTGCGTGTTATAAAGTCAGAAGTTTCTCTTCAGAAGTCAGAAGAATATCTCGCAATTCAGATATTTTTTTCTCGCAATTTTGCCTTTATAACTCGCAATTGCGACTTTATAACACGCAATTCTGATGTAACTCGCAATTGTGAGGAAAAAATTCGCAATTAGGCTACCTTTTTATTTTTTTATTCTTAGGCGGAAACAGCCTTCCATAAAATTCATATTATATAAATATAATAAATAATTAGCAGGAAAAGATGAGCAATTTTGTCTCACTGTAAACCTATATATAAAAAATCACTATAAACAGCTTTAATTTGGAGCGAGAGATACAGGGGGAGTGGCTTTATTGCATCAGATACATGTCACTTTGCTCACAGCTGATTGGTCCAGTTTTGCTCTGCGATCTCTAACCCAGAATAAACCAGAATAAAACCTGTTCCTGTGTAGCGTAAGTTACCATGGCGATGAACCGTTAAAAACCAGTCCACCTTCTTGAGTCCTAAAAAACAGAACTTGAGCCCTAACCCCTCATCCCCATCCATCCCACCCCATTTTTTTTACAAAAATTTGCAATAATGATAACTGATATCCAATATCCTCCTAATTTTTTTTTTACGTGAATGCCTTTTTTTAACTTTAATGTGCAAGGCTTTCGATGTCAACTTATTTTAGCTGTACAAAAACACTCCTTTATGCTGCAAACTGGTATTTGTAGTCATTTTAATTTAACAATATTTAATAATATTTTAGCAATACATTATCGTAATCTAAAAACGCATTGGTTTGTAGCTGCAAATAGTTTTACCATTTAGTTATTCAACTTTCAGTCTTAAACATTCACAATACCTCCATATTGAAATTTAAGGTGGATAATATTGAGTTAAAATTAGCAGTGGTAACCCACTTGAGCCCTGCTTATGTGGTTAAGGGGTACATAAGACAAAAGTTTGAGAAACACTGGCCTAGAGGATTCAAGCACATGCTGTGCATGTGAAAACAGGACAACTTCTTTGGGGACAGATATTTGGCAGACTTATCCATGATGTCGGATTCAGATTTTTTTTTAGTGTTAAAATAATATATATTTTTAAATGAGATGTCACATTGAAAGTCAGACTGAAACATTTCAAGCCTCTGAATTGATGCGAGCGAGTTGAAGAGTTTTGCAGTTAAGTGTTTGTTTCTCTTGCAGAGCTTCGTGATGCTGTTGAGGAGATCTTGCCAGCACTGAAAGAAAAGGGGATAACTGTATACCTCCTGTCAGATGAGAGCACTACAGACGGCATTCAGTGTATTGGTCAGGCCATCGCTAAGGCTTCAGATAAGCCGCTGTCCCCGTCTCTCAGGTCCAACGTCCATATCAGGAGTACAGCACTGTATATCTACACTTCTGGCACTACAGGTATCAGTCCAGGCCAAATGTAGTGGGTTATGTAATCTGTATTGTTATATTCCGTTCAATAGCATACCAAATCAGGCTGATACTGCTAATAAAACACGCTGTTTATGACTCTATGTGCTGTAAAAATATGCGTCCCTAAATAACACGGGTATTCTGGTCCATGGAGGTCTTCCTAAGGCAGCCTATGTGACCCATGAAAGGGTCTGGGCTTCGTCATTCATCCAGGGTGTTTGTGGAGTGACGTCTGAAGACATATTCTACATCAATCTGCCTCTGTATCACAGCGCTGGATTCCTCATCGGACTCGTCGGATCCATTGAAAGAGGTATAATGGATTATATGATTTGCCACTTTATAGATTTAGAAATGCTCGACTGGTTATAGCGCAGCTCACAAATGAACGTTGTTTCCAGGTAACACTGTTGTTTTGCGGAGAAAGTTCTCTGCCTCTCAGTTCTGGGACGACTGCCGGAAGTACAACATAACTGTGATGCAGTACATTGGTGAAACACTGCGCTACCTCTGCAATACACCAAAGGTAAAAACACGTATCATGTTTTATAAGTGTGAAGATATTTCTCTTTCAAATTGGGGTTTTAACTTTTATTAGCTCTGTTCCAAAATCTGTCCCTAGACGTCTGTTACAAAGGCTTGTCCAAAAGGTAGCAAAATTACGCTGCCTTATGAAGGTGTGGTCACATTACTGACATTTTTGCCAAATTTCGTGTCCAAAAAGTTCCATTTTCTGCAGTAAAAAAAGAAACCTTTGCTAAAACCTTTGCTATGTTTCAAAGTGTCCCGTCCCCAAGGGTTGAAAATTAACGGGGGCTTGGGGCAAAACTACCATCAAAATTAGTAACATTGGGTCTCATTCATGAAACACGAGCAGAACGAATTTTTGTGTAAATCGTGTGTAAAGTGGTTCTGGCGTAAATTTTCGGATTCATTAAAATGTTCGTATTTTCCAAATGTTAGTTGGTACGTTAGAAATCTACACCTGCTCCCAGCCACGCGTAAATAGTGAGTTTAACACCCGAACGTTTTGCTCATTAATAACTAAGGCTGCATTTTAATTCACCTTAATCGGGTACATATTTACACAGCATTTTGAAAAAATACTATATATAGTAATTACATACGGTTTTTCTTTTTACTTCTTGGACTGTTTGATTAACAGATGAAACTCCAGTAACTGCATCTGTAATATGCTGCCAAGCTTCCTTTTTTTTAGGACCTGATACGCCACTATGTAGCCTACGCTTGAAAATAAAATGTGGTGTTTTGAATGAACTTCTGATAATAAAACTTGGATTTCTGCATCTGAGAAATGTTTCTTTTTCATTCGCTTTTGAGAAGACATGTTGAAATCCTTCGTTTGGTGTCATAATATGATGCCCATATATAGTTGTCAGTCGGATTTAATGGGCGGGATTTATGGTTATTGAGAATGAGCGTGCACGCGTGTCCCATTTACGACTGATTGGAATTCATTAACACACACACTCACACATTTCACTATCACATCTGACGTTTACGAAGTATTTGTGAATCAGGAGATGAGTTTTCGGGAAGGTCTCTTTACGCGCAAATCACTCTCATATTTACTCGTATATTTACGAATGTTTCATGAATGAGACCCAATGCTTCCAAAAACCAAGATATGGTGCAAAAAAGTCTCCATATAAGTAAAAAAAATAATATATATTTATAAGCAGTCTCACACAGGCAAAAGTGCTGTTTCCCCAAATATCAGCAAATGTGATATTGTTTATTGAATTGTTGTATAAAATCAATGTTAATATGTTATTAGTTGACTTAAATTTTAGACAATATTGTCAATAAAGCCAGAATATTGTCGATATAGCAGTTTTTCCTCTATTTTGCCAACTAAAGTAGTTCCAACCAGTAGAGCCGAGCAGCAGTTTCGGTTTCGCTACTGAATACTCCAGAGACCCGGGTTTGAACCCTGCTCTGAGTGGATAGATTAGGACCGGTTACATTTGGTGCCGTGACTCGGGTTGGAGTGAGGTTTAGGGGGGTGAGTGTAACAGACGTAGGCCAGTAAGAGCTGTGCGTGTAAACCTCACTCCCCCGGTCTCAAGAGGCACGTGTTAGCGCGCCCGCCTCCTCTTGACCCCGGTTCGAATACCGCTTGGTTACACTTAGAAGGCAACTCATTTGGTTTTGGACAGAACTATTGTGTTGGAAACTTTGAGGCAGTGCAAAGATGAAACCACAAACTGGGCTGTTCTGTTTTCCGCTTTGCAGAAAGACAATGACCGAGACCACAAGGTGAAGATCGCCATTGGTAATGGCGTACGAGCAGACGTCTGGAAAGATTTCCTGAACCGCTTCGGACGCATTAATGTCCGAGAGCTCTACGCTGCCACGGAGGGAAATGTCGGCTTCATCAATTACACCGATAAAGTCGGAGTGGTCGGCCGTATCAATATTGTCAGCAAGGTAAGTGTGACAACACATTTCTTAACATCGAGAAAGGCACCTTTGTGTAAAGTCAGCTTGATTGCCATTGTATTCCACAGGTGTTTTTCCCCTTTGCCCTCATCAAGTTTGACATTGAGAAAGAAGAACCCGTGAGGAACACTGAGGGTCTGTGTATCCCAGTCGGAAGAGGTAGAGCTTTGAGGTTTTTGCGGTATAATTAATTTTATTGCCATGTGGCATCAGTAAAGAGAGTACGATGTGTTTGTTTAGTCTAGTATTTGAGGTTTTGAGACTCTTAACTTCCATTGACCTTTTGTTAGGAACACTGTCATAAAAGGTTAATGTTTAACATGTTACATGGGCATCTATAACTCTACAGTTGTCGATATTAAATGTTTCATAGATGAGGTGGGCCTTCTGGTCGGGAAGATCACGAAACACACCCCTTTTGTCGGCTACGCTGGTAACAAGCAGCAGACCGAGAAGAAGAGACTTAGTAATGTGTTTGTGAAAGGAGATCTGTATTTCAACAGTGGAGATCTGCTGAGGATCGACAACGAGAACTTCGTGTACTTTCAGGATCGAGTTGGAGACACGTTCAGGTAGCGGCGCTTCAGCTGAAGCTGCTGTGAAGTGCATTTGCACACTTGGAGTTTGAAGCATTGCATCGTCATTTGTTATTGCAGGTGGAAAGGCGAGAATGTGGCTACAACTGAGGTGGCGGATATTCTCATGATGGTGGACTGCATCGAGGAGGCCAATGTGTATGGAGTCAAAGTTGAAGGTACATGTTATAATTTGCATATAAAAATGATTCGAATGGAAAAGAGTTGGGAGTCGAATGGATTTCATGATGATACTTATGAACTGCATGTTAGTTAGAGCTGTTGCTTGATTTATTAAACCACGTCATTACCTTAACCGAAAATTGTTTGCGATGTATATGACTTTCTTTCTTCAGATAAACACAAACAAAGATTTTTTGGAAAATAATCAATCTCTGCGAGTTCATATAATGCCAATAAATGGCTGCCGCTCGGTTGACGCTTGCACAACACACACTTTGGTTAGCCTAAACACAGGCCTTACTCCCTTCATACATAAATTGTCAGATTCCGTCACTGCAACTTCCCGAACACACTCAAGAAATTAAATGCGTTCAGCCCAAGCAAAGGCTGGAAATAGTTGGTCATATACAGTCGTTATATATCACATACCCAGCACTTGATTGGTCCTGGTTAACTACTTCACTGAAACGGTCCCACACAGTGCTTTTCTTTCTTTCTTCCTTCCTTTTGTTTTGTTTTTAGTTCTCCTTTTTAAAAATTCGCAACTGCGTAGCTGGTCTGCAAATTAGTGCCTGACATAAAATTAAGTTTTAAACACGTTGATATTTTCCATCATGTTGGAAAACATTCTTATCTGAATAATTTCTGTTAAGCATGTGTATATTTTTAGTTAAAGCTGTTAAGTTATTAGAGTTAATACACCCAAAAATGAAAATTCTCTCATCATTCACTCGCCCTCGTTGTTTCAAACCCGTAAGACATTCGTTCATTTTCAGAACACAAATGAAGAAGTTTTTAATGAAATCTGAGAGATTTCTGCCCCTCCATTGACGGTCTACGCCACTGCCACTGCCACGCTTCAAAAACTTGTTCGAAAAGAGATCGTAAAACTAATCCATAAGAATCAAGCAGTTTAGTCCGTATTTTCTGAAGAGACACAATCGCATTATATGATCAACAGATTGAATTTAGTCTTTTATTCACATGTAAACATTCATCAGCGAACGTAAACAGAAGCTCAAGCGGACCGGCTTAACGCGCGAGAACAAACCTCTAGCGGAAGCTAATGAAAGTTTATATGCAAATAAAAGCCTTAATTAAATCTGTTCATCATATAAAGCGATTGTTTCTCTTCAGACAATTTGGACTAAACCGCTTAATTCATATGGATTAATTTTATGATCTCTTTATGACCTTTTAGAAGCATCGAGGTGGTAGTTGCGTAGGCTGTCAATGGAGGGACAGAAATCTCAAAAAAAATCTTTGTGTTTTGAAGATGGACGCAAGTCTTACGAGTTTGGAACGACAAATAATGACAGTAAATGCTGACAGAATTTTTATTTTTGAGCAAGATCTTTTTTCCCTCTGTGTTATATATAATGGCCATTGGGAGGTGCTCAAAGGCACATGATTTCCTTGATTGGTTTCCCCTGGAGAGATATACTTTGTTGTTGAAAATGGAAGTAAAAGAGTCTTTATTAAAATGAACGCATGATTCATCTCTCATCCCTCCCGCTACTTGACCTGCGGATAATCTGCGGATATAACCGTCCACTGAGCGGTAACCATTTAATGCCATTACATGGACTCAAAGAGATGGATTATTTTCCTAAAGATATTAATTTGTGTTTATCTGAAGCAAGTCATATATATCGGGGATGACATGAGGGTGAGTAAAAGAAGAAAATTGGGATATCCCTTTAAATTAGATTTGGAAATGTAAAAATATAATAAAAAACATTCAAAAGAACCAAATTTTGCTGTAATAAGTGGTCCTTAATAATATATTAAATATTACATTTTAAAAATGTATTTTAAAAAAAAGAATCAATAAGCTGTTTTTTTTTTTTAGGGCTGTCAAACAATCACATCCAAAATAAAAGTTTGTGTTTACATAATGTGTGTGTACTGTGTATAATTATTTTTAATACATAAATACCCACAAATGCATGTGTATTTAAGAAATATTTGCATGTATATAGACTGAATGTAGCCTATATATAATGTATATTTTATATAAATATAAACATTTTAAATATAAATAACATATTTTTCTGAAATATATACGTGTGCATTTATATACAAAATAATTATACACAGTACACACACATATATTATGTACACACAAACTTTTATTTTGGATGCGATTAATCTTTTGACAGCCCTAGTTTTTTTGTTTGTTTGTTTCTTGAGTATAAAGCATTATGGCTGTAAGATTCAACACGACTTTTGCCCAGATTTACAGTCTTTTAGTTATCAGTTTTCACATAAAATCACATAGATGATTGGAACATACTCCAATTCTTTAGCTTTAGACTATGATTCCATGAAGCATGAATGAATATGATATGAAACATGTTTGATAGGAATGTGTCTGGTTACAATTTGGGTTGTTCAGAACAAACTCACGCGATTTCAAAGTCGGCAAGTGTATGATGAATCATTACATTCCTAACAATTCTCATCATTATTCAAATCTAACAACATGCTTACCGTATGTTTTAATATTCAAATGGACGGTGTCTTCAGGCCATGAAGGAAGGATTGGAATGGCCGCTGTGAAACTGAAAGAGGGCAGAGAGTTTGACTGCGGCACCATCTGCAGTGTCTTGGCCAACTATCTTCCGGTGTACGCCAGACCTCGATTCATCCGAATTCAGGTACGCCATCTTACCTATAGACATTCCCATGAATCTTGCTCGTAGACGCCGTCCTCTCCAGTCTCGGCTTCGCTCTGTGAAACTCAGCAAAGGCAAATTTGTCTTTCAGAATTCCTTGGAAGTCACAGGAACTTTCAAGATGAAAAAAGTGAAGCTGGTGGAGGAAGGCTTTGACCCAACATTAATACAAGATCCTCTCTACTTCCTGGATCTGACGCAAAAGAAATACATTCCACTCTCTCAGGAAATTCATAACTCGATCATGTCGCATGACATTAAACTGTAATAACCATAATATAAGCTAACGGTACCATTCTGAAATCTACTAACCAGTAGTTGCCTACTAATCTCAGGGAAAACAAGTGATTCCGGTGAATGATTTGAATCTTTACAGACCAGTACAGTCAACTGTTTTACATTAGTTTACTTGCTTATCACTTAACCTTGTTAATAATGTACATTTATCATTGTATCCTATGTTGTAATTAAAGTTAATTAGAATCGAATAAGATTGTTTTACACTAAATATGCACAACTTCAACTCTCAAGTCAGCGATTCTCAACTGGGTCATGAGCGGTAGAGAAAAATGCAACTGAGTAGCAAAATTAAACTCGTAGTAAAAATGTATTACTTTTCTCCATTGGGAAGTTGATTTTGAATGATAACCTCAAAATATTTAAAGACAGCCTTACTGAGGTTGTTAATCGATGATATTTGCTTTTGTTGAAGACGTCAGCCCGCCTTATTTTAACGTAGTTTTAAAATAACTGCAGAATTTGTGGTGAGAAACTACATTACCCATGATGCTCTACAGAAAACTCCACCAATCAGAGTCGAAACAAGCAAACTGCAGCAAAGATCTGTCGATCTCCCCACTCTCTCAAAATACGGAATTATTTTTGTATATAAATCAACCTTTTTAAAAGGGTTTTTATATTTCTCCACCACTTTTAATTTGATTATGCTGTTCTCAATGCTTCATGGGATTGTAGTTCTTTCCCTCAATAAAGCCATTAAATACAGTCTAGTAACTTTTTCCGATTCTCAAATACTGTCTTCCCGTGTTTTTTGCTAACGTCAAAGAATGTGTCCAATCAAACTCTAATAGTGTGAAATTTGTACCAAAATACGTTTGATTTGAACTCTTTCCCTGCCAGCATTTTTTTTTTTAAAGTTGCCAATCACTGCCAGTGTTTTTTTAAAATCATTTTCACAAAACATTCATAGCCCCTAAAATATTTTGTTGTATGAATATTTTAACGTGCTAAAATATATATATATATATATATATATATATATATATATATATATATATATATCACAGCACCCTCTATCTTATTACAGTGAATCTTCCAGCAATGGCGGGGAAAGAGTTAATGACATTATTCGTTCACTTTAGTACAATAATAATTGTGGTTCGGAGTTTCCACTTGCTGTCCAATGTAAAAAACTGCAGTTGAGAGTCGCTGCTTTAGGCTTGAACATTGATTCTTCTGACCCAACGGCTTTTAAGAAAGCAGAGCGCTGGTGTTCTCAGCCGGTCAAGAGTTGGCCTCTGTAATCAGCTGCACTCTCTGTTAAGTAGGTGAAAAGCCAAGCGCACTAAACTCATGACCTCTGAGCTCATAAATAAACATTTCTAAACACCACAAACCCAGATGAACCAGTTTCCTTCTGTACCCAATTCAGGGGTCATCGACATCTTTCACAATCCTCAAGATTATGCAATACCAGGTTAGATCAGCAGTCACAATTGTTTTACTTTAAAAATGAATTTATTTATTAATACAGTTGTATACTTAGAAATGTGCTGCAAAGAAAACAAGAGAAAGTAACAAAATAAAAGAATGTCGCCACACAAAGAGAAGAAACTAAACCCGGGATGAAGCTGCGTCGTCATATCAAAACAAAGTCGTACTGATGTGCCTTAATAAACTGTCTATTAGTAGAAAAATACATTTCAGGGCACATAATACAGCATCCAGTATCACAAATAAAGTCAGAGTCCACCAAAGCAGACCCGTCAAATTATTTCTAGTTTGTAAATAATAAAAATGTTTCTGTAACTGTTAAAAATGCCATTACGTAGTGTTTGTATTATATATATATATATATATATGTTGTTGTTGGTATAAAAGATAACGTCCTTTTTCGTTGCATTTGTTATTTCTTTTCTTTTTTATTATTCATTTAAATGTTCTCCGTACTGCTAAGTTAAATTCCAAGGCTCAGAAATATAACCGGAATACAAACATAACCAATGTTATAGTTTTCCTTTTTTTTTTTCTTTTTTTTTAAGAAACTTTTTTTTTCATGTTACGGTTTTATACAAAATAACAAAGATGTACAAAAGGTCATTTACAGCGAACCAAGGCCATATGCTAGCACAATATTTACAGCTGTAATTGAAACATATCCTAGTGTTCTGGTATATTCTTTGACTTCATATGCATAGCAGTGAAAATGCAGACTTCATTATTTGTGTGCTAAATATCCCACTTCACATCCTTCGGAACTTCCTTCTGTAACAGAAATTCGATGTTTGCTAGTCTTTCGGGTCAAAGTAACAAAACAAAACAAAAAATGCAGATAAGGCATCACTGCTTGCAGTGTATGATGGGTAGGTTTGTGTACTCAACTTAGTAGCAGGCGTTTGGACCTGAGTCATAGCACATGCATAGATCTCTAGACAGCAGGAGTTCCGGAAAACCACAGTCAGTGTTTATCTACGGTAAAACTTTGCTAGAAAAGATCGCTTCAAAACGTAGAGAGAGAAAGAGCCCATTTTTTTTTTCTTTCTGTTTTTTTTTTTTTTTTTAGCCAGAGAAGGGAAGTCCATGAGCAGATGAGTGCAACAGTCACATTCCTTCACTTCAAAAAGTCTCAATTGTTCGTCATTTTCTAGAAACCGACATGCTTTCCAGTTCCGTGACAATCCGTTACAGCGTTCCACGAAAAACGCATGACCTCGCAAACAAAAAAGCTCTACATACATCAACTTTTCTGTTTGGGAGCACATTAGCAGGGTTCACTTGTATTAAGTAAAACTAATTCGTTTTTCCATCTATTTGTTTTTTTCTGGTTCCGTTCAAGACTTTTCTAATTATTTGGAGAGAAACAAGAGGCTACAAATGTCAAAAAGGGATTTTTTCCGACTGTCTGTGGCACAGCTCATGCATTCCGTTAGATTTCTTCATTAATTTATGTATTCAGTTATTTTTTGCAAGTCTTCAAGCACCAAAAGGTAAAGAAAAAGGCAAAACCAAACTTAAAAAAGGGAGGAAAAACCAAAGGAAATAGGGAAAAGAGCGCTCCGTAGCATCTGCGCCATCTTCCAAGATATTTTTTTTTTGGGGGGGGGGGGACGACGCTTCAGCCCATCAAAGCAAAGTGGAAAGAATTAATACTTGATAAAGTGGTGCAAATCCCTCCTCCTGAGCAGAGGGTCCATGCGCTCACATTCAGTAACAGACCAGCTGTTGCTCTCTTCAGAAGTGGTCGATCAGCACGGACACACAGTTGGCGCCCACCAGGTAATTGGGGTCTCCTGGTAAACACTTGTTTTGCCAGCATTTGGGGTCACCTGTGGGTATATTCACAGGAGAAACGTCATGAGGAAGACTGTAGACACAACATAATTACCTGACATTTCAGACGCTTTTCCGTTGACACTAGGACTGCACGATTTTTCTGATAAAAATTGCAATCTAAAAAAAAAAAAAAATTGTAAAAAGCTCCAGGTTTGTGTTGCTTGTTTGAAGGGCTGCACAATTTGGCCCCAAATTTTATAATATAAAATACAGTTAAAGGGATACTTCACCTCTGGAAAGATGAATGTGTATTTAAAATGAGTCATTTATGTAGAAGAAATGTGAAATTATTTTTGAATTTGGAGCTTTCTAGACTGAGAAAAGCCAGAAAATGTATTTTTGGCTTATTTGGATCAAAGACAACAACTCCCAGAATGCACTTGCTTCGCTGCCCTAGGAGGCCACGCCTACCGGTAACAGAGCGCAGTAGTTAAACAGCAAGTCTAGGCTACTAGTGCGTCTCCGTGATGAGTCTGCCCGAAAATGTGTTTCAAGATCGCCCAAAATGTCCGGGATTCGGCTTTTGCGTTCTACAGTCGCCATTCATAATGTTTACTGTGGCGAGCAGGACGAGTGAGGGCCGCGGGAGAACGGCGCGAGGCCGGTGGCGTGATTACCGATGAGCGACACCTGTGAGACGCACCGCTCTCGTATCTCTCACGGAGGAGCGGGAATTTTCTTAGCAATGTTAAAACGCACATCAACCGATCACTTGTTTAGCGCTCATGTAAACACTACATTCAGATTCACCAATCGGAATGAATTCAGTTAGATTGAAGCAAAAGGTGTGCATGTAAACAATGAATGGCGACTGCAGAAAGCAAAAGCTGAATCCCGGACATGTCCGGGAAAAAGAGGATGCTAACCCCTACTACTCAGCTTTCTCCACAGAACGAGAGCCTGCTAGCTTAGCTTCCAAAAAAAGATGGCTGACACTATGTGTCCATTCTGTGAGTGAGATCCCACCCTCTATGGGCGGGTTGAGAACATGCGGGACAGCTCCTTCTACTGGCTGTAGTCTTTAGCCTCTGGCCAAAAAATCCTCCGATGACGCAAAATGACGATTTTTGCGTCATCGGAGGATTTTTTCCAGACAAAAAATACATAAATCTCTCGTCTCAGGGGGATATGAGGGTGGAAAGCACGGTAATTCGAAAATACTACAGGTTTTCTACTAATACAAAGCTTAATGCTAAATCCTGAAGTATCTCTTTAACACTTTACAATAAGCTTTCATTTGTTAACTATATTAGGGGCCGTTTACAAAAACACCGTTTTCAACAAAAAACGTAAAACTTCTTGTATGTTTTGGCTGTTCGTTTACATGACAACAGCGTTTTGGGTGCCTGGAAACGCAAACGTTTGAAAATGGGGTTTTAAAGTGCGCGTTTTTGAAAACGGTCTCCGTGTAAACAACAAAAACGCGAATCTCTGAAGACGATGACATCATGTGTTCGGTCTATAGTCAAACCTTTGAAAACAACGTTTTTGTTTCAGTGTAAACTAAAAAACTTGAATTTGTGAAACCAAGCGCATGTGTATTATGTGTTCAGTCTACAGTGGTGTGAAAAAGTGTTTGCCCCCTTTGTAAATATGATCAGAGATGGCTGTAAAAAATAAATCTGCATTGTTAATCCTTTTGATATTTTATTTTAAAAAATTGAACAAATCTAACCTTTCATTGAAGTAAAAGAATTGAAAGTGGGGAGAAAATCACATTATGAAATAAATGTTTTTCTCCAAAACACGTTGGGAACAATTATTTGCCCCCTTTTATTAAATACTTTTTGCAACCTCCTTTTTCCAAGATACCAACTCTGAGTCTTCTCCTATAATG